GGTTCAAAGATCTACTGGCAAAAGCAATGGGTCTGTCACCCTTCTCATCCATGTGGGACAAGACTGCTCCTACACCATCTGGTGAAGCATCACATGTTAATATAAGTCTTTTCCCTGGGTCATAGTGAGTTAGTAAGGTGTCAGAAGACAAAGCCTCTTTTGCTGTATTAAAAGCAGCTTCTTGCTGTTTACCCCAGTGCCAAGTTGCATTTTTCTGTAGCAGCTTGTACAGTGGTGATAGTTTACCAGACAGATTTCCTATGAACTTTGCATAGTAATTTATCAAGCCCAAAAAAGCTCTTAGTTGTTGGGTATTTTCAGGTTTGGGTGCTTCTTTAATGGCTTTTGTTTTCTCAGGTTGAGGTCTGATACCTTGCTTGCTTAATATATAACCAAGAAAACTAATTTCTGTCAGCATGAATTGACATTTATCTTTGTTTATCTTTAAACCTTTTTCACCAACAATTTTCAAGACTTTATCAAGTGTTTTAAGATGTTCAGTGTCATTCTTACCAGTTATGTACACATTGTCAAAGTACACACAAACATTTGGAATATCCTTAAAAATACTGTCCATGACAGCTTGGAAAATTCCAGGGCTAGATGATATGCCAAAACATAGTCTTTCATATTGGTAGAGTCCTTTATGAGTGTTTATTGTCGTATAGACTTTTGAATCTGGATGCAGTTCTAGTTGAGTGTAAGCATGACTAAAGTCTAATTCAGTGAATTTGTCTCCTCCTGCCAAATTCAAAGAAATTTCCTCAATGTTAGGTATAGGGTACCTATTTAGCTCTATTTGCTTATTCGGTGTAGCTTTATTGTCTCCACAAATTCTTACAGAACCATCCTTCTTTAACACTGGCACAATGGGCGTTGCCCAATCGGAATAGTCTACCTTCTTTATGATGCCATTAGATTCCAATCTACTTAGCTCATTTTCAATTTTATTCCTCATTGCATAAGGTGGAACTCTAGCTTTGCAGTATCTTGGATTTGTGTCTTTAATGCTTATCTTCACTGTTCTATCATTTAGTAATCCAGGATTACCAAAAACACATTTATTTTCAGATATAACTTTATCTAGTGAAGTAAGACTAGATTCTCTTGCAGTGTTCAATGAACATATACTCTCCCAATTTAACTTAAGATTACTTAACCAGTTCCTACCTAGTAATGGTGGTCCGTTTCCTTCAACCACAAGAAGAGGAAGTTTAACACTTTGACCATTATAACTTACATGAACCATACACTCTCCTATTACCGGAACATTGTCACCAGTGTATGTTGTTAGACACTTGTGACATGGCTGTAGAGGCACTGATCCTCCTGTGACAGCGTCAAAATCTTTCTTTGTTATGACTGTTAGAGATGCTCCAGTGTCAAGTTGGAAGCTGATGCTCTTACCGTTGATATAAACTGGTACATTGATGGGAGCATGACTTATTGATTTCACAGAGAACAGGCTGAAATCCGGCTGCGAATCAGTTTGAGCATTTTCACAGGTAGAGTGGTTCATTGGTTGGGTTAGGTAGTCTTGGTGAGAGTTAACATAGTGCTGCCTTTGGTTGCGGTACTGTCTTGACTGGCTAGATTTAGCAACAGACGAAGACTTTGCAAAGCAGGCCTTGGCAATGTGACCTTGCTTACTGCACTTATAACAGGTTGCAGACTTGAACTTGCACCGATGAGATGCATGGGGACCTTTGCATCGATGACATTTTTGATAATTATTACTAGATTTAGATCTAGGATTTGAACGTGCAGGCTGTTTAGCATAAGTTGAAATGCTCTGATGGGGTTGGTGTTTGTTGACTAACCTGCTGTTTACTGCATGGATCTCTGAAGGTGCTAGAGATTTTGCCGCATCTGATGACTGCTGGAATGAAGTTGCGAGTTGTATTGCTTTTTCTAATGTTAGATCTGACTCGAGCAGCAACTTTCTTTGAATATCAGGGCTGTTTACACCTGTCACAAACTTTTCACATAGTCTGTCAGACAGCGTATCGCCGAATTCACAAAATCTACTTAGATGACGTAAAGCAGCAACATATTCTGATATTGACTCGTTTGGTTGACGAGTTCTACCGTCAAATCTAGCTCTACATAGAAACTTTGATGGGATAGGCGCATGGTGGTCTGTTAGCAATTTGCTCAGCTCGTTAAAGCTCTTGGTAGTTAGACTAGCTGGTGCGCATAAGTCCTTTAGTAGCCTAAATTGTTGAGGCCCTACGACTGTTAACAAAACAGCTCTCTTTTTGGCTTCTATCGTCACGTTGTTTGCTTCAAGGTAAAAGCTTAACCTATCTAGATAATCCTGAATGATTTCATCATTCGAATCAAATTCTTTTATTTGGCCATACAGCGCCATTATTCTAGAAATACTTAGCCAATATGCTCTAGCAAACCTCTTTTTTGCGTAAGTAGGTGCTCTTTCTAGTGGATTATCTATCCTTCGTCGCCAATGTGATCGATTGGCAAACACTGACGAGGAGCCACATAGATTGTTAACAGTAGTTTATTCACACCATGAGGCAAGAGAGGACGGAAGTCACGAGAGACTTATATACATAACATGTAAGGGACATCACTCAAGATAACAATATAAATATAATACTAATACAGAAGAGTGAGTTCCTTTGACCTCACAATTATCTCAATCTATTACAGTCTACATTTCTCTATTGTTTAAAGGTTTAAGCTATAAGACCCAGCCTACCACAGGCCTATTTGTCATTTTGTTCGTTAACGATTAGATGGATCCGTCATTAGCAAACATGTCGGAGTAAAACTAGTTTTTCTAATATGTTTCGATGAGATTTTAGTCTCCCCCCCCCCACCCCCCACGAAACTGATTGTTTTGTCTGTCATTTTAGGGAGCCTAGCTTTAGGTAAATCATCTCCAAAAAGAAAGTGACGACATTTGATTTTAATGCTAGAGGCGTTGGGGTCGTTTTGAAGAGTTTTTTTATTTCACGTTAAAGAAACTATATTTTGACAGCCTTTACTTGGTAAATAATGATGACTTAACTAAAAGAAGCAACAGGCTGTAGGAGAATTTAATTAACTAGGTCTAACTTTTGCCGAACATTTGCGATACTTTTTAAAAATGTTTTTAAGCGAGGTCAATCGTTAGCATTTGTTAGTAGTCGACGTATTGTCATAATTCATTAGTAATGTGCTATTTTAAGGAGCGACGGCTTTAAGTAAACAATTATAGATGAGGTGATAACGTCTCATAAACATTCTATGGGTCTGCACATGTTTTGTATTTAGAAAAAAAAATGAAATAAGCATCTTATTATAACATTAAAATGTTGGTTAAAAAAATAAGAATTACATAATTAAGTTAAATGTATTATGGTTTGTAAAAGAAAATTTGGGGGCCTCTGGCTGCTGCCCTCTCATCCCACCCCCCCACCCCTTTTTTTTTCGCTATTGGATCCATGCCTAAATAAACTAAGATCAGTGTCGTATTTTTAAAATATTTGTTTTATCTTCAAACGATTTTTATAGAAACTAAAATATTAGGTGTTTCATTTTTCTAGAAAACTTTGACGGGTCGTGTTCGCGTTATGTGTTAAACTCATGTGTCGTGTGTTCAATTTATTCAATAACGGTAACAACAGTTGGCACGGAGACCTTTTCTCGAGTTGGCCGTTTTTTAAACAAAACAAAAAAAAACAAAAACAAAAAAAAAACATAGTAATAACAGCATTGTAATAAAAAGCAATGGAGTAGGAAACATAGCAGTAACATAGCATTCAAAGATTTGGAATAAAAAAATAACATTACATAGTTATAATACAAAATGAGCTAGAATGAGGAATGAGAATATAATCGATGAATGACAAATATTGAAATGAGTCAGTTTTGGAGGTCATTAAATAAATGTTGTTTTAGTTTAGCTTTGAATATATTTTCAGATATTATAATAGTTTTATTTTAAAATAGAGATTACTCCACAAATTAGAACCAGAGTGGGCAAAGCTATGTTGACTTCATTTGTTGTATGTTGACCTTAAGTGTCGTATGCTGACCTCGTATGTTGTGTGTAGATGTGTACATGAATCAGTCCGCTGATAAGTGTGTTGTGATGTAAAGGTTGACGTCATCAGATGTGTCACGAACAGCACGTAATCTAACTCAATCTTCAATGATGTCATGAGGTTTGACGCTCTTAACACGCTAGGGAGCTGTAAACAGGTTAGGAGCTGTAAATAGGTTAGGGAGCTGTAAATAGGTTAGGGAGTTGTAGACGGATCTATAAACACATTAGGGAGCTGTAAACAGGTTAGGAGCTATATAAAGGAGTGAGAGTCGTATATGAGAAAGTCAGGCTTCAAGCAATGTGGGAGCCGTAAAGAAAAGTGAGAGCCGTGTAGAGGTGGAAGCTGTTAGGAAAGGTGTGCCATCATTACGTTAAACTTTACACTTTTAACGGCCCGATAATCGAAACCTTCAAAACTGACAAACTTAACAAACTTAAGAAACCTGACCGTATGCTTTGTTATCAGCCAACCAAACAATCCCAGATTGCTTTTGGTGCAACATCAGGCGAAGTGTTGTGTAGCTAGGTATGTCGGGGTAGGCTGGGGTGGGGGTAGGGGGTTACCTCTTAGGTTAGACTCTCTACACTCTCAGTCAGTAGCGGATTAAAGGGGGGGGGGTGAGAGGACTGCATTCAGGGGCCCCCAATTTTTAGGGGCTCCCAAATTTTTACTAAAAGCTAAAGGTTTAATGTTTGCATCACAAACTTTAATATATATATATATATATATATATATATATATATATATATATATATATATATATATATATATATATATATATATATATATAATTCGAGGGCCCCAAAATGTTACTTGTGGTGGTGTGGGAGGGGATGGGGATACTTATCTCTGTGACGCCACCAAATTGTGTAGCACTGGGAATGTTTCTGACCGACCCATCCCCCACGTCGTCATGGCTTCAAGTACCTAACTCTAAAATAGGAAATCTCCAAGCCTTAGTCACTACTGATATAGGGATTACACAAGGCTTATTCCAACCAACACAATTCGAAAGACTTATTTCAACTGCTGATCTGCTTGTGTTTTCATGTCCGATAACCGATTTGAGATAACGGAAAATTAGGGTCACTGGTTCATTGCGACTAATTGTCTTCATTAGTTCAGACCGTCCTAGCTGTCTCGTCCACCCCCATCAGGAGATTTACACTCTAGCCGTGAGTACTCGTGTGTCTCAGCAGTGTCTCAATATTCAAGTGTCTCAGTACTTAAGTGTCTCAGCGTGCGTGAGAAAAAAGTTGTCTTAAGATGATATGCTACAGAAAAAAAAGTTTGATGTTTTGAAGTAAACACACACTGCCAGTTAATGCAAAAGGGGGATTTAATTTTTAAAGGGAATCATTTGTGTTGATACACTAATTGTGTTGATACATTAGTTTTGTTGATACATTAGTTGTGTTGATACACTAGTTGTGTTGATACATAAGTTTTGTTGATACATAAGTTTTGTTGATACATAAGTTGTGTTGATACATAAGTTGTGTTGATACATCAGGTGTGTTGATACTTGAGTTTTGTTGATACATTAGTTGTGTTGATACATTAGTTGTGTTGATACATTAGTTGTGTTGATATATAAGTTTTGTTGACACCTTTAAAAAATGTATGGTTTATTTCTCATGTAGGTTTGGATGATATAACTGTTTAACAGTTAACATTATGTCTATGTTAGTGTCTATGACGGTGCTGGTGTATTTTTGATTTATTTGAATATTTTGAACGCTTTTGTTATGTTTATCGTAATTTTGCCATCTTGAAAGGTTTATGTTAAGTTAGCAATTTTGTTAAGTTTATGTTAAGTTAGCAATGTTGTTAAGTGTATGTTAAGTTAGCCATTCTTGTGTGTTAATCTGATAAGACAATGTAGTTGAATATTATGAATCAGCTAAAACTGTCAGAGATAATGAAAACTATAGTAGACTTATGACAGCCCACTACATCATCAGATCTAGATAACTTGATAGTAAAGGTCTTTTTACACACAGACACATACATGTCACCACTTACGAATATATATATATATATATATATATATATATATATATATATGTGTGTGTGTGTGTGTATATATATATATATATATATATATATATATATATATATATATATATATATATGGTAGACGACCCAATAGACTCTATCCTTTATAGTTGTTTTTAACCCCAAAGGAATCCCTGTCTGTTCTTAGACTCACGCCTGATCCCTTTCAATACGGTCAAGGAAAAAAAATAACATATAATTTATTTATTTATTTATTTACATACTATTTTTTAAAAACTTATTACTCTATTAAATACCTAAACTTATTCATTGCTTTAAATAATTTCTTTAAAAACCTGTTTATATACTGGTATTTTTTAAAACTTATTTTCTTCCTTTTTATTCGACCAAAGAAATTATTGTGTAGCTGTTCGCGCCTACATCAATAAATAATACAAGGAATACAAACATTAATTTCTTTAGTCTCGAACTGGGATTAATGTTAAACGTATTAACAAATAGTTGGTTCTAGTGGAACTTAGATCTTTTAAAAAGAGTGTCTAGCAAGGTATTGACCCTGCACTGGAAGCCAGACATAAATCCGCAGAAAATATTTCCGGTTTTTACTTTGTCTCCATGTAAAAGTAAGATCACGCCAAATATTATTTTAAATTAAATTATATCCTAATTTTACCAATTCAATTGCATAAAGTATTTAAGGCCCGAATTAACTTAGTAAAGAAACTCAATTATTGATTGTGTTTTTATACTTGTTAATTCATTAATTCTCGTTTGGCCTGCTGTTTTCCTACAGCAGCTTGCCTGAAATCTGGTTTAGATCTAGATAAATTCATTTATTCTCCAATTAGAAGAACTGTCACGCGTACCCTAATGAAAAAATTGGAAACTAATACATAACAGACAAACGTGTCGTTATTTCTTAAATTGACAGAAAAATTTAGATTTGAAATGCGCCGTGTTTGTTCAGAAAATAAGTAAATAACGTATTTGTTCTTAACTTTTATAATTAAATTTGTGTTTAACAAATGAATATATTAATTAATTAATTAACGTCTTTAAATACATTTTTATATAACATAAATACGTATTTTACAGTTCTACACATAGTGCCGATGTTCTTATCAACCGCAACCCACGAACAAAAAAAATACACTCGAGTTTTAGTTATATATATATATATATATATATATATATATATATATATATATATATATATATATATATATATATATATATATATATATGTCTTTCCAAGTTTTCTATTCCTGAACACAAACAATCAAGATGACAGACAATCACCATCTGTTTTCTTGTTTGTGTCTAGTTTACCACAGCAACTGTTGTTGGAGTATTGTTTAGAATACAAAACTTAGAACCAATTTATTTTTCAAAGGATTTAGAACCATTGTATTTGTAAAGACGGAACAGAAATGAACCCTCAGTTTCTTACACACAAGGAAATAATTTGATAGGAAAAGTGGAATTTACAAAACTAATTTGAAAACTTGGAGATCATGTGAAGTATAAGTGGTCCATGACCAACCTCTACCCACGCGCATGCGTCAACATAGTTTAATCTCTAGGCACGTCATAGTTGAGAAAATGTGTTGGACCGAAACACGTAGGGCCCATGTTGACTCTAGATAAGGTTGTTTGGTTCAGTCATGGCACACTTTGGTCCCTGGGGGTGGGGAAATAAGCCCGTGTCCCTGGGGGTGGGGAAATAAGCCCGTGTCCCCGTGCAGGGAAAAAGTTCAACTCCATGTCACATAGACACACAATAAAACCATTTTCTCTGTAAGGAAATTAAAGATAGCTTACATTGTTTTATGCTATAAATCTGGCGGGGGTGTTTTGATTGTGATGTTATGTAGGGTAGATGGCGTTTATAAAAAGTTTTAACTACTTTGTTACTTTTTAACAACTAATTTTTTCAATACAAAACTTTCCAATTATTTATAGCGATATAATAAGCGATTTGCTCCGACATTCCCATATTTTTTGTTGCACCGATTGTCGTAGTTTTGTGTGTAACAGAACAATGTGACGTCATATGATGACGTGTTCTGGAGACCCTATTGCATAATATGATATGTCAGGTGACAACAAAGGATTCACGCTATGGTCTATTTTTAGCGCTTTTTATTGGCTAACAACCTGTACCAGCAGCCTAACCCACGACCCACAACTCACCAACCCTAACCTATGACCCACAACTCACCAACCCTAACCCACGACCCACAACTCACCAACCCTAACCCACAACTCACCAACCCTAACCCATGACCCACAACTCACCAACCCTAACCCACAACTCACCAACCCTAACCCATGACCCACAACTCACCAACCCTAACCTATGACCCACAACTCACCAACCCTAACCTACAACTCACCAACCCTAACCTATGACCCACAACTCACCAACCCTAACCCACAACTCACCAACCCTAACCCACGACCCACAACTCACCAACCCTAACCCATGACCCACAACTTACCAACCCTAACCCATGACCCACAACTCACCAACCCTAACCCACGACCCACAACTCACCAACCCTAACCCACGACCCACAACTCACCAACCCTAATCCACGACCCACAACTCACCAACCCTAACCCACGACCCACAACTCACCAACCCTAACCCATGACCCACAACTTACCAACCCTAACCCATGACCCACAACTCACCAACCCTAACCCACAACTCACCAACCCTAACCCACGACCCACAACTCACCAACCCTAACCCACAACTCACCAACCCTAACCCACGACCCACAACTCACCAACCCTAACCCACGACCCACAACTCACCAACCCTAACCCACGACCCACAACTTACCAACCCTAACCCATGACCCACAACTCACCAACCCTAACCCATGACCCACAACTCACCAACCCTAACCCATAACTCACCAACCCTAACCCACGACCCACAACTCACCAACCCTAATCCATGACCCACAACTCACCAACCCTAACCCACAACTCACCAACCCTAACCCACGACCCACAACTCACCAACCCTAACCCACAACTCACCAACCCTAACCCACGACCCACAACTCACCAACCCTAACCCATGACCCACAACTCACCAACCCTAACCCATGACCCACAACTCACCAACCCCGACCCACAACTTACCAACCCTAACCCATGACCCACAACTCACCAACCCTAACCCATGACCCACAACTCACCAACCCTAACCCATGACCCACAACTCACCAACCCTAACCCATGACCCACAACTCACCAACCCCGACCCACAACTCACCAACCCTAACCCACGACCCACAACTCACCAACCCTAACCCACGACCCACAACTCACCAACCCTAACCCATGACCCACAACTTACCAACCCTAACCCATGACCCACAACTCACCAACCCTAACCCACGACCCACAACTCACCAACCCTAACCCACAACTCACCAACCCTAACCCACAACTCACCAACCCTAACCCACAACTCACCAACCCTAACCCACGACCCACAACTCACCAACCCTAACCCATGACCCACAACTCACCAACCCTAACCCACGACCCACAACTCACCAACCCCACGACCCACAACTCACCAACCCTAACCCATGACCCACAACTCACCAACCCTAACCCACGACCCACAACTCACCAACCCCACGACCCACAACTCACCAACCCTAACCCACGACCCACAACTCACCAACCCTAACCCACGACCCACAACTCACCAACCCTAACCCACGACCCACAACTCACCAACCCCACGACCCACAACTCACCAACCCTAACCCACGACCCACAACTCACCAACCCCGACCCACAACTCACCAACCCTAACCCATGACCCACAACTCACCAACCCTAACCCACGACCCACAACTTACCAACCCTAACCCACGACCCACAACTCACCAACCCCACGACCCACAACTCACCAACCCTAACCCATGACCCACAACTCACCAACCCTAACCCATGACCCACAACTCACCAACCCTAACCCATGACCCACAACTTACCAACCCTAACCCACGACCCACAACTCACCAACCCCACGACCCACAACTCACCAACCCTAACCCATGACCCACAACTCACCAACCCTAACCCATGACCCACAACTCACCAACCCTAACCCATGACCCACAACTTACCAACCCTAACCCACGACCCACAACTCACCAACCCTAACCCACGACCCACAACTCACCAACCCTAACCCACGACCCACAACTTACCAACCCTAACCCATGACCCACAACTTACCAACCCTAACCCACGACCCACAACTCACCAACCCCACGACCCACAACTCACCAACCCTAACCCATAATTCACCAACCCTAACCCACAACTCACCAACCCCACGACCCACAACTCACCAACCCTAACCCATAATTCACCAACCCTAACCCACGACCCACAACTCACCAACCCTAACCCATAATTCACCAACCCTAACCCACGACCCACAACTCACCAACCCTAACCCATAATTCACCAACCCTAACCCACGACCCACAACTCACCAACCCTAACCCATGACCCACAACTCACCAACCCTAACCCACGACCCACAACTCACCAACCCTAACCCACGACCCACAACTCACCAACCCTAACCCACGACCCACAACTCACCAACCCTAACCCACGACCCACAACTCACCAACCCTAACCCATAATTCACCAACCCTAACCCACGACCCACAACTCACCAACCCTAACCCATGACCCACAACTCACCAACCCTAACCCATGACCCACAACTCACCAACCCTAACCCATGACCCACAACTCACCAACCCTAACCCACAACTCACCAACCCTAACCCATGACCCACAACTCACCAACCCTAACCCACGACCCACAACTCACCAACCCTAACCCATGACCCACAACTCACCAACCCTAACCCATGACCCACAACTCACCAACCCTAACCCAACATATTTTCTCCTAAAGCCTCTTATCTCTACTAAAGACCAACACGGCAACTGTACTAGGTCAGATTGTGTTATCTGGGAAAATGTTGCCCAAAACCGTCTTGTGTAAACATGGAAATTTCAATCGTTTCAATTCAGATTAGAGAAAATCGATTGTTTATACACCATATCATTTTTTTAAAAAAACACGTGTGCCATGATTTCAACTTTCTAATATGTGTTTGTGTTGTGTGTGTTTAAGTGGTGTGTGCTGTTGGCTGTGTGTGTGTTTTTGGTTTCGGTGGTCATTAATCAAGTCCAGCCTTTGGTTAAAATTAAAAGGAAAAAACTTTGAGTTTTAACACGTAACACCGTGGCCATTTTGAAATAGGTCAACAACAAAAAAATGGAGCGAGCATGTAGATCATACACATACAAATCAGCTTCTTTCTTAGGAACACTTTTTAAGTAACTTGCTAACCCCGTGTACTTTTAGATGTGTGACGTTTTTTTTTCTTCTTCCTAAAACTGAGTTATTAAAGAGTAAACAGCGCCGGCTATTAGTTGTGGCGCCGGTTTGTTTACACTAACTCTGGGGCGTGCTGTATGAACGCCTTCAGTGTACGTTAATCACACTCCGTAAGAGTGATTTTTCCTAATCCTTCTCGAATATTCTTATATAACACTACGGGGAATGGCAACTAGGAGTATAGACATGATTTTAATCTATTTTTTTAATTACTTAAACTTTTTAAAACATAGAATAGAATCTCGTAGAAAAAAAGAATTGCGCACCAACTGAACGACAAACAATATGTGTATAATAGTGCGGAATAATATTAGTACTTAACAAATTCAAATGCGTTTTTTGAGAAGTCGGAAATAGCGTAAATTACTCCATCCACTCACCAGAAATAGCTCAAAATTTGAAAGAAGGCAGAGAATTAGATATTTTACTTATATGTGAAACTTTGTTTATTTATCTGAAAAAAAAACTAAAAGTAGAATAAGTTCCACTTCCGTTTATCGGAAATCGCTGAAAAGTTGAAACATGATCACAAATTCAATATAATACTTATATATGAAATTTTATCAACCCATCTGTAACGGTACTCAAGTTATCGTGTTTACAGACATACACACACACATACAAATTGCTATAAATGTAAATCTACAACAGTCCTCACATGTCGAATGATAAGCATAGTAATGCAATTGTGGAAGAATTCGGTACAAGGATATTATACCAGTGGCGTAGCGAGGTCGGGTGTCACCCGGTGCGGCACTTAATGGTGTCACCCCCCCCCCCCAGAGGCATAGAGACCCTTCCCAGGGACAAACTTTCAAATTTTCGATTTGCACCCCCCCCTCAAACTTTCGATTTGCACCCCCCCCTCGAGTTTTCGATTTGCACCCCCCCCCCTCAAACTTTCGATTTGCACCCCCCCTCGAGTTTTTCTCTATATATTTTGCTATTTTTTGCCTTGGCGTCACCCCCCTAAATGGTGTCACCCGGTGCGGTCCGCACCCCCCGCCCCCCCTCGCTACGCCCCTGTATTATACGCTACAAATAATGCATGTCTGAGGCATATCTAATATACAAAGTTCAAATAGAGTATGCTCATCTGTATGTGGCGAACGGATATGCTGGGAATTACAAGCATAATGAAAAAAAAACTCAACTTTGTCGCCATCGTGTAATATGTTTAATGTGTTACTTTTTGTACTAACATAATTGATGTCTAGAAAACTCAATATTGATCGTTTTTAAACGAAATTTTCATTTTAGAACTTATCATTTTAACTAACGTAATGCGTAAAAAACAGGAGCGAACTCAATATATTAAACTTCACGTAGATTTTAATTTTGTCTGAAGAAAAGTATACAAACTACGTCTTTTTGTACCAATTATTTACCTTGATAGATCACCTACAAAAAATGTACTTGTTTATGTTTGCGTTTGTTTGAATTAGCGTTTAGTATTATGTTTGTGTTTACGTTTATAGTTTCGTTTGCGTTTAAGTTTATATTTGCATTATGTTTGCGTTCATTTTTGCGTTTGTTTTTTATTTTGTGTTTATATTTTCACCAACGTCCATATTACATATGGAGCTTTGATTGAAAATTTAATAAATTCCCAAACACATGGCAGCACAGGGTATAGGATACTTAATGAGCACATAAGTCACGGCCGTTTTCAAATAACTTTTACCTAAAACGCCAATGCCGGGCCCGACCGGTACAGCTACTATATGTATATAAGAGTAACAATATGATATAGGATGGTAAACCTAACTTAATTAAATTATACCTTAAGTTAAGTTCAGTGTAAAATTGGGTTTATAAGACATTTTTAAATTAAAAACATTTCCAAGAAGTAAAAAATTCCTTTCTTTATTACTTCGTTAGCACACATTATTTTAATAAATCCCTCTTCAATTTCGATAATTTACACTTAGCAAATTGTTTGTGTCTAGAGAAGCCCCGACGTTCCCACTTTGTAACATAATTTACTGAGTCAAAGGGGGAGGTTGTAGTTGCCACTCACCTACCTCTAATGCTTCACGAAATTAAATCTTTCTCCACAGACTGACAATCATTTCACATAGATCTAACGTCTGCCAAAACAGAAAATGTCCCGGATCTTATGTCTGCTGCTTCTGCTTTCGTCTGCTACATTTTGTTTGGCCTCAAGTTCACCCAAGTATTGTACGTTTTTAAAAAATTGTGTTCATTTTTGTTATTGGTTTAGTTGTTTGTGACTTTTTAAAATCTATGTTCATGTATGTTAATCGCCTAATTGTTTTCAAAGATTAATAATTTGAAAGCGTTTCATCCCAAGTGTTTCTGAACAACTACTGCGGTGAAACTGTGACTGTCAAGGGTTCGACCATCCTGAAGTCCACCATATTCCAGGATAATGACTGCAAAGTAACGCTTGTAGCCGCCAATGGTAACAACCTGGTGGCACACTTCAACTTGTACAAGCAGACGTCTGGGGTTGCTGCCCTTGCTCACCTGTTCACTGGCGACTGCTTGTCTGAGTACATTCAGTTGTACAATGAAGTTAATCGGCCAAAAATGGGTGAGTACACCATACAAAGACATATAGAGCACACACAGGCAGACACACAGAGGCAGATACACACATACACTAAAGCTCCTGCTCATAGTGCTAAATATATTGTAAACAAACACACTATGATTTCTGGGTGGAATATGTTAGTTAAAATAATTTACACGGCGAAGTCGAGAGCCGATATTAAGTACTGTTTGTTTGGATAAAACTATTTATATTTTTTTTATTCCCCAGGAAGCCACGGCTACTGCAAGTCTGTGAGACCAACTGACCACTACCAACTGGGCCAGTCTGGAAGATTTGAGTACCACGGTGTTTTCCTCAAGTACCTGACCTTTGAGCTTTTGATCACTGAGACGTACAAAAAGTCCACGCCAGATGAAGGTAGGTTGTGGTCATTTTGTTGCTTTCATATGGTTTTTTTTTGTGTGTTCATATTATTCGTTGTATTGTAGTCAATATTTGGGCATCGAAATCTTATGTTAAATATATAATTCTCTTCATGGAGACCATAGAAAACAGCAAGCTGTAAGCACGCCTAGCAGCCCCCCTCACTTTCCTCTCTAGGCATATCCCTACCACCCCCACCCCCACATGGTCTGGTGAGCTGTGGTTCACGCTAAATGTTTACAATCGTAGAGACGGGTTTAGTGACGGCTATTAGGGGCAGATAATTTAGTTTGAAACTATTTTAAACGTAGGGGAGGTAACTAAAAGGAGGCTGCTTTCATGAGGGGGGGGGGGGGGGTAGCGTAAGGGTTGGGGGAAAGGAGGGGGGTTATCGTCCTTAACGACCTACTGATAGTATTTTAAAGCAAATATTTTCAGTGGCAGCACTGGTACTGTCGAATTCACAAATTATAAATTACTGAAAAGTAGAGAATAAACAACTAAATAGCGGCATATGATACGCCGCGGGTCGGCTCGTGTTAAATATTTCCAGAACTATAATTTTAATGACCGGTGGTGTCAGAGTCATTCAAATGGATTTTCTGGCCTTTCTCCACATGACTCTGTTAGGGCTGATGGCGTCACACATGAACAGTTAATCAAACTATATTATTGGCTTTTTGTCACAATTAGTCCTCATATTTTAAAAATCTGCTGTCATCGGTCTTGGTTGGTGGGTTGTTTTGTCCTTCATTGTGTGGACATTTTGTTGTCCTTATGTGTAGCACAACATAGTAACAGTTTCACACGACATAACACCTGTTGTTTCATCTTGTCCAGAATGTCCAGCTGGTCAGTTTGACTGTGACTGGGAAGACAACTGTGTGGACGAGGACCTTAAGTGTAACGGCTACAACGACTGCGGTAATGACGATGATGAAAACGATGGTTGTGGGCTGTCTAAGGTCATCATCATCGGCATCGTCGTTGGAGTCATCGCAGCTATCGCTCTCATCATCGGTATAGGCTTTGGTGTGGTCAAGGCCATGAAACACTGATAGGTCACGGCCGTAAGGTGGTGATAGGTCAAGTTTGTAAGGCGTCGCTAGGTCAACCAGGATTTAATGCACATTCCATGGATTTCTTATTATTTAAACTAGATTGCTAACTATAAATCATTATTGACCTCGTAGATTTCTGTACATTATAAAGGCCCTGTTTTGTCCACCTATTGGTTGTTTGCAGCATTTAAATATCGTGATGTCATTTAAAATATTCATGGTTGGTGGACATTTCTTTTACTGCTGACGGTAGCATATCACTGGTTTCTATATTTCTTTTAGCTGTTTGTGTTTATACATTTCTTGACGACTGGACCGAATCTTTGATTCTGTAAATATTTCTTAGACTCAGCAATATCGTTCTTGTATCTTGTGTTACCATTCAGTCAAACCTTGACTTGTACGTCGACATTTGTCGTTATTCCCATCGTCTCTCATCTCTAACACACAATTATCATCTTCTTTTTTTGATTGATGTCAATAACTTACTGAATAAAAACTTATCTCATAACCCAATTGCTTGCATTTCGTTTTCGAATTGTAATTGCAATAATGTTACGTTTTTTTTAAAAAGTTGTTCTGTCGTGTTTTGATCATAGACATTATTTTAAAAGAGCCAGGATTGATGACACTACCAGTATACAGGCATGTCTGGGCGTATGTTGGTTTGAACGTGGCAATAATAAACAAGCACAAGCAACTACCCGCTTGACCATCCAGCACCAGGTGCAGTCTGTGATATCGGCACTCGTCAGGTGGTCAGTCAAGTGGCCAGTCAGGTGGTCAGTCAGGTGGTCAGTCAGGTGGTCAGTCAGGTGGTCAGTCAGGTGGTCAGTCAGGTGGTCAGTCAGGTGGTCAGTCAGGTGGTCAGTCAGGTGGTCAGTCAGGTGGTCAGTCAGGTGGTCAGTCAGGTTGTCAGTCAGGTGGCCAGTCAGGTGGTCAGTCAAGTGGTCAGTCAGGTGGTCAGTCAGGTGGTCAGTCAAGTGGCCAGTCAGGTGGTCAGTCAGGTGGTCAGTCAAGTGGCCAGTCAGGTGGTCAGTCAGGTGGTCAGTCAGGTGGTCAGTCAGGTGGTCAGTCAGGTGGTCAGTCAGGTGGTCAGTCAGGTGGTCAGTCAGGTGGTCAGTCAGGTGGTCAGTCAGGTGGTCAGTCAGGTGGTCAGTCAGGTGGTCAGTCAGGTGGTCAGTCAGGTGGTCAGTCAGGTGGTCAGTCAGGTGGTCAGTCAGGTGGTCAGTCAGGTGGTCAGTCAGGTGGTCAGTCAGGTGGTCAGTCAGGTGGCCAGTCAGGTGGCCAGTCAGGTGGTCAGTCAGGTGGTCAGTCAGGTGGTCAGTCAAGTGGCCAGTCAGGTGGTCAGTCAGGTGGTCAGTCAAGTGGCCAGTCAGGTGGTCAGTCAGGTGGTCAGTCAGGTGGTCAGTCAGGTGGTCAGTCAGGTGGTCAGTCAGGTGGTCAGTCAGGTGGTCAGTCAGGTGGTCAGTCAGGTGGTAAGTCAGGTGGTAAGTCAGGTGGTCAGTCAGGTGGTCAGTCAGGTGGTCAGTCAGGTGGTCAGTCAGGTGGTCAGTCAGGTGGTCAGTCAGGTGGTCAGTAAGGTGGTCAGTCAGGTGGTCAGTCAGGTGGTCAGTCAGGTAAGACGGTGGTCAGTCAGGTGGCCAGTCAGGTGAGACGGTGGTCAGTCAGGTGGTCAGTCAGGTGAGACGGTGGTGAGTCAGGTGAGACGGTGGTCAGTCAGGTGGTCAGTCAGGTGGTCAGTCAGGTGGTCAGTCAGGTGGTCAGTCAGGTGGTCAGTCAGGTGAGACGGTGGTCAGTCAGGTGGTCAGTCAGGTGGTCAGTCAGGTGGTCAGTCAGGTGGTCAGTCAGGTGGTCAGTCAGGTGGTCAGTCAGGTGGTCAGTCAGGTGGTCAGTCAGGTGAGACGGTGGTCAGTCAGGTGGTCAGTCAGGTTGTCAGTCAGGTGGTCAGTCAGGTGAGACGGTGGTCAGTCAGGTTGTCAGTCAGGTGGTCAGTCAGGTGAGACGGTGGTCAGTCAGGTAAGCTGAAAGTCAGTTAGGTGAGCAGGTAGTCAGTCACGTGTGTGAGGGGGTATGTGTGCACGTTCTATGTTGTTTTTTTATATCTTTTAGGCACATTATGGACACAAATTATGGCATTTATAGTAGTTTTATAAGTACCATATCTTATTACAAGATTGTAGAAAACCTATTTAATAATAATTTTTTTTTCCAATTGGACAAAAGCTAAAACTAAAAATTAAGCGTTCATTAGCAACATTAATTTTAAAAGCGTTAAATATTTCTCACCTGACGCGTAAAAATATTTTTAACACAAAATCTAACAGCAAGCTTTAAATGCACGGAAGGTAATAAAATAAACCTAATTTGCTTTCAATCATAAGAGCTTTAGTATCTCTTGAGATCTTTTACATATTTTAGCAACCAAATAGTTTATTGTTTTAATTTCAGTGCGTTTAGTAAAAGCTGGTTACTAGAATGAGTTTTTTTAATAATTTGTTTTATTTTCTACCTTTTAGTAATTCACAATTTATAAACTAGACTGCATAGGCTAAAAGTATTTGCTTTAAAGCTTCGTCATTAGCTTGCGATTTCTGAAAGACGACTATCATCTCTTTCTCAAAGCAATCGTCCGTGACCACAGTTCACAGACGACAGCAAGCTGATCAAGGATTTTTTTAGATCTAAATCTTGCTACATGTCTTGGTTTCGAGATCGTTTAAAAACTTTATTATCTTCCCTTAATAGCCTTTACTAGCTTGACTTAGCTTTACCATTGTAAACTTTCTGAAAATAGATCGGTGAATCAACTAGCTAGTTATCTTCCTTCCTGTTGTTGAAAATAGTAATCTTTAAATATCTTTTTGTGACTAATTAAGCATCTAATTTTTTTTTAATTTGGATACTCTTGCATTGTTATCGAAGAAAAAGGTCTCTGAAAAGTTTAAACGAAATCACTGTATTAGAAGTGGGTTAAAAGTTGAGTTACAAGATTTGCCACAATCCCACAAACAAACCAACAGACATCTTGAACTAAGTTAAATCTTGTAAAATCACCTGCATCATACAGGAGAGTTACCTCGTCGGAAAAAATTTCCACCAAATAAATAATGTCTCGATTGAAGTAAATAATAAATAATGTATCAGGATTTTGCTCTTGGTTTGTCGGTAATCAAAGAATTTAAGCGCTGAATTACAAGGTTTTGTTTGGTAAATTAGAAACCAGCCAAAGATAACAACTAGTAGATGACAGTGGCCGTTTGTGGTCGGGCAATACAAAATTTAATACAGGTTTAACCACGTTTAATCAAGTTTAACCAAGTTAACTTTAATTCATGCAATCAGAATGTGGGACATGTTTTCCTTATAAACTGGATACAATGGGAGGGGGGTGGGCTGTGATCTGCTAGCTCTTCAACCTACACGAAATAAAAGATAAGAGTTTTTTGGTTACAATAATAGCAAAACCTAGTTAGGTGAATCAGTCAATCTGCTAAGTCAGTCAGTAAGTTAGGTAAGTCAGTTAGTCTGGTGAGTCAGTCATGAGAGTCAGGTGAGTCAGACAGTCAGGTGAGCCAGCTAGGTGAGAACCCTAATGTCAGCCATTCGGCGAATGACTATATTGCAATTTTTTTTATTCATTGAAAAGAAGATAAAAATGAACATTGTCGCGATTTTAAAGAATGTGTGTTCAGATTGAGTTTGTGGTGTGTCTTGTAGATTGTGTGTGTAGCTAGTGTGTGGCGTGTTAATTATTGTGTGTGTAGATTGTGTGTGGTGTGTCTTGTAGATTGTGTGTGTGTAGATAGTGTGTGGTGTGTAGTAGAATGTGTGTAGATAGTGTGTGGTGTGTCTTGTAGATTGTGTGTGTGTAGATAGTGTGTGGTGTGTAGTAGAATGTGTATAGATAGTGTGTGGTGTGTCTTGTAGAATGTGTGTGTAGATAGTGTGTGGTGTGTAGTAGAATGTGTGTAGATAGTGTGTGGTGTGTCTTGTACATTGTGTGTGTGTAGATTGTGTGTGGTGTGTAGTAGAATGTGTATAGATAGTGTGTGGTGTGTCTTGTAGAATGTGTGAGTAGATAGTGTGTGGTGTGTAGTAGAATGTGTGTAGATAGTGTGTGGTGTGTCTTGTAGATTGTGTGTGTGTAGATAGTGTGTGGTGTGTAGTAGAATGTGTATAGATAGTGTGTGGTGTGTCTTGTAGAATGTGTGTGTGTAGATAGTTGTGGTGTGTCTTGTAGAATGTGTGTGTGTAGATAGTGTGTGGTGTGTCTTGTATATTGTGTGTGTGTAGATAGTTGTGGTGTGTCTTGTAGAATGTGTGTAGATAGTGTGTGGTGTGTCTTGTAGAATGTGTGTAGATAGTGTGTGGTGTGTCTTGTATATTGTGTGTGTAGATAGTGTGTGGTGTGTAGTAGAATGTGTGTAGATAGTGTGTGGTGTGTCTTGTAGATTGTGTGTGTGTAGATAGTGTGTGGTGTGTAGTAGAATGTGTATAGATAGTGTGTGGTGTGTCTTGTAGATTGTGTGTGTGTAGATAGTGTGTGGTGTGTAGTAGAATGTGTATAGATAGTGTGTGGTGTGTCTTGTAGAATGTGTGTGTGTAGATAGTGTGTGGTGTGTCTTGTATAATGTGTGTGTAGATAGTGTGTGATGTGTCTTGTAGAATGTGTGTAGATAGTGTGTGGTGTGTCTTGTAGAATGTGTGTAGATAGTGTGTGGTGTGTCTTGTAGAATGTGTGTGTGTAGATAGTGTGTAGTGTGTCTTGTAGAATGTGTGTAGATAGTGTGTGGTGTGTCTTGTAGAATGTGTGTGTGTAGATAGTGTGTGGTGTGTCTTGTAGAATGTGTGTGTGTAGATAGTTGTGGTGTGTCTTGTAGAATGTGTGTGTGTAGATAGTTGTGGTGTGTCTTGTAGAATGTGTGTGTGTAGATAGTGTGTGGTGTGTCTTGTATATTGTGTGTGTGTAGATAGTTGTGGTGTGTCTTGTAGAATGTGTGTGTGTAGATAGTGTGTGGTGTGTCTTGTAGAATGTGTGTGTGTAGATAGTTGTGGTGTGTCTTGTAGAATGTGTGTGTGTAGATAGTGTGTGGTGTGTCTTGTATATTGTGTGTGTGTAGATAGTTGTGGTGTGTCTTGTAGAATGTGTGTGTGTAGATAGTGTGTGGTGTGTCTTGTAGAATGTGTGTGTGTAGATAGTGTGTGGTGTGTCTTGTAGTGTGTGTGTAGATAGTTGTGGTGTGTCTTGTAGAATGTGTGTGTAGCTAGTGTGTGGCGTGTTAATTATTGTGTGTGTAGATAGTGTGTGGTGTGTGTTGTAGAATGTGTGTAGATAGTGTGTGGTGTGTCTTGTAGAATGTGTGTGTAGCTAGTGTGTGGTGTGTCTTGTATATTGTGTGTGTGTAGATAGTGTGTGGTGTGTCTTGTAGAATGTGTGTAGATAGTGTGTGGTGTGTCTTGTAGAATGTGTGTGTGTAGATAGTGTGTGGTGTGTCTTGTATATTGTGTGTGTAGATAGTGTGTGGTGTGTCTTGTAGAATGTGTGTGTAGATAGTTGTGGTGTGTCTTGTATATTGTGTGTGTAGATAGTGTGTGGTGTGTCTCTAGAGATTCCTGAGTTAAGGAGCTCTAAGGCCAATGTTTAGTTTAGATAACGTTCTTTAGTTCGCCTGTCACATTCAGTGGCGCAGAGGTTAGATTACAGAGGCTACACACACCTTGCACAACACAGTACCTAGTCAATGCAGAAGTTACATAATTCATACATAATTACATAACATAGTGATTATTACAAAATACTAATTAAACTACATAGTGATTACACCGCATGCTAATTTTACAAAACACAAGTTACACAATAAAGCAGCTACATATTACATAACACACTAGCTACATACCATACTTACTCTACTTCACTGTCCGATCTCCTCTAAACTTTCTCGAATATTCTTATATAAATCAAAAGGGGGTGGCAATTCGGGATATAGCATGGTTTTAATCCATTTTTAATTAGTTAAACTTTTTTAAAAATTCATAAAAAACGTTTTAATAACAAGCTTTTATGCTATAATGCACTAAAAAGTAGAAAGTAAATTATACACTACTATTGAAATAACTATAAAGAAAAGCGTGGGTCACTTTAGTAATTATCGGATACCTTTACTAATATTTAAGAAGAAACCCACACTTTTCTTTATAGTTATTTAGATAGTAGTGTATAATTTATTTTCTACTTTTTAGTGCATTATTACATAAAAGCTTGTTATTAAAACGTTATTTATGATTATTTTTTTCAGTACTTTGAATTTTTAAAAATTTACAATAGAGTTGCATGACTAAAAACTATTGCGCACTTAATGAACGTGATGACGCGTGTTTAATAGTGCGGAATAGTTTAATGAGACAGCCTACTTATTTGGACAAAATATATTTAATTCATAAAAAATTAATCAGTCGACCAAATAAGTCAAATTTAATGTCATGTTGCATCGTCTTCTTGTCTTGACGTACGTACCAACTACGAACAGTATCTGTCAGTTAGAAGACTGACTGACGACAGACAGAGGAAGTGAGTTAAAAGAAAGCTTGTAAAAAATGTGTATGTACTAATGCACTAAAAAGTAGAAAATAAATTATAGACTACTATTTAAATAACTATAAAGAAAAGCGTGGGCCACTTTAGTATCTATTGGATACCTGTACTAATGTTTAGGAAGAAACCTACGCTTTTCTTGGTCAGTTGAAAATGCTTCAGTAAAAGCCTGTAATGACTTCGTGTCAACTTTAGTATTTTCAGTGGTAAAAAATTTTAAACAATCAATTTATTTCGGGAAGCGCAAATTCTTTTGAACTATCTGTCTTTAACTTGGCGGCTTTTTAATTATTTTATATATCTCTCACCTCACTTACAGGTTTTAGATTTTTTTGTCTACCAAACATGTCCTGGATCTCAAGTTTGCTGATTCTGTTCTTGTTTGCTACAGTTTGTTTGGCCTTAAGTTCGCCCAACATGTGTACGTTTTTTTTTATGGTAATACGTGTTATTGGCCTAATTATTTGGCCTCAAGTTCTTCCAAGCTTTGTATATTTTAAATTTATGTTCATGTTTGTTAATCGCCTAATTGTTTTCAAAGATTAATAATTTGAAAGCGTTTCATCCCAAGTGTTTCTGAACAACTACTGCGGTGAAACTGTGACTGTCAAGGGTTCGACCATCCTGAAGTCCACCATATTCCAGGATAATGACTGCAAAGTAACGCTTGTAGCCGCCAATGGTAACAACCTGGTGGCACACTTCAACTTGTACAAGCAGACGTCTGGGGTTGCTGCCCTTGCTCACCTGTTCACTGGCGACTGCTTGTCTGAGTACATTCAGTTGTACAATGAAGTTAATCGGCCAAAAATGGGTGAGTAGACCATACAAGGACACACAGACAGACACACACAGGCACACACACAGGCAAGACACATACAGGTAGACACACATACACTTAAAGGGCCTCACGCACGCTTATGCGGATAGTACTAAATATGTTGTAAACAAACATGAATTCTGTGTGGAATATCACATCATCAATTCCAGTTCGTGCCCAAGACACGTGGGGTAGATGAAGTAGAGTCCATTGTGTGAAATATGTTACAGTTTTAAAAATTTACACAGTTTTAACTAGAGAGTCGTATTAACTAGTTTCACCCGAAGCTTTGTATGGATAAGAAAAATTAATAAAATTCAAACCCAAAACTTGAATACAACCTTTATAACTCAGTTGCTATTTCAACCATCACGTTGTTGTTGTTAATTAAACTTGAACTATCTATGTCAGGAAGCCACGGCTACTGCAAGTCTGTGAGACCAACTGACCACTACCAACTGGGTCAGTCTGGAAGATTTGAGTACCACGGTGTTTTCCTCAAGTACCTGACCTTTGAGCTTTTGATCACTGAGACGTACAAAAAGTCCACGCCAGATGAAGGTAGGTTGTGGTCATTTTATGGCCGTTTTGTTGCTTTAAAGTGGTCTTGTCTATGTGAGCCGCCTACAAGCTATAATATACATCAAATAGTTTATCCCTTGGTCACAGTCTGTCATACATCATGTCGTCAACAATTGCCATTATTTTGTCGACACGTCCTTTACTTTTGTTTTCTTTTGTCCAGAATGTCCAACTGGTCAGTTTGTCCTGTTTGTCCCTCTGTGTAATGCCACATAGCACGACATAACACCTGTTGTTTCATCTTGTCCAGAATGTCCAGCTGGTCAGTTTGTCCTGTTTGTCCCTCTGTGTAATGCCACATAGCACGACATAACACCTGTTGTTTCATCTTGTCCAGAATGTCCAGCTGGTCAGTTTGTCCTGTTTGTCCCTCTGTGTAATGCCACATAGCACGACATAACACCTGTTGTTTCATCTTGTCCAGAATGTCCAGCTGGTCAGTTGGTCTTGTTTGTCCCTCTGTGTAATGCCACATAGCACGACATGTCACCTGTTGTTTCATCTTGTCCAGAATGTCCAGCTGGTCATGTTTGACTGTGAGTGGCTCAGGAACTGTGTGGACGATGCCCTCAAGTGTAACGGCTACAACAACTGCGGCTCTAATGATGACGAGACGGTTGGGTGTGGACAGCCCTCAACGTTCTCGTTCACGACACTGTCATTGTTTCTATCGATGTTGTGTTTGTTGTGGCCAATGTTTTGAGTCAGTGCTGAGTTGAGACAACTCACCATTAAACTTAACAGCCTCTCAGCTGTGTTACCTGGTTTTGTGTGCATGACTGTTGACCTGTATGCCGCGAGTTTGGATCCCGTGCTCGAGTCTGCACGTCGTCGATGAGTCCACACAACTCTAGTGGGCAAGTGACGCACTCTGGGAGATGTAGATGATGTTTGGCATAGTGCAAAACAATTTTTTTTTCAAATGCCGAGGTCATAAAATTACATAAGCTCTAATTGCATCTGCCTTTGGAGGTGACTAGAAAGATGTTCAACGGAAAATTGCGCACACAGGAAAATAGTGCAAAGAGAAAAATGCGCACTCACAAAAATGCGCAAACAGAAAAGTGCGTACACAGAAAATGACAAACAGATCTTTCGGCAATTATGATTGTGACAATGTGTGTATGTATGTGTGTGTGTGTTTATGCTTGCATGTATAAGTTGTTCTGTGTATGTGTAAGAAAATAAGAACACCAAGGAAGAGTGTTAACTCCATGTGTCAATCGGCACTGTACCTAAGTCAAAATCACGAGAATCTTGCAGATGGGTGACTGTGTGGAAGAATGAACAACATTTTTTCTAACCATTGCAATACAGACTGAGGTCTTTAGTATATTAAAGTCACCCATTAGTGGTGTTCCCTGCAAGTTGTTACATGAACTAACCATCCGTCCATCCTGCTTATTTTTCGACATGTTCAAAAGGAGGTACTGGTATTTTTGTGTACTATTGCACATCTCTCTTTTAGTTAACCGAAAAACTGTTACTCCAATGATAATAGAATGAGCACGTTATTTAGATGTATGGACGGACGGACGAATAGACAGACAGACAGACGTACAGACAGGTAGGCAAGGTGTGTGGGTGGGCTATTCGGTCTATTGGTTGGTGTTCGTGTGCGTGTACGTGTAAGTTTAGCTACACATGTAGGTTTATATGTAATACAGGTGCAGGTGAAGGATTAGTTATGCAAATCACCACTGGTCAAATAACCTGTGATCAACACCTGTGGTGAACAAACTGCCTGTGGACAACCCTTGGCTGTGGTCAAACAACATGTGGGCTCATCACCTTTAGTCAAAAGCATCTATAATCAGAAAATATTAGAAATTTATGATTCTATTTATTTTAGAAAATGATGCCGCTTTTATTATTAAATAAAATATACAGACGTTGTAATAAAATAGTCCTGTGTATGTATGCACATAGGCACGTGCAAACTCTAACATGCACGCACACAACACACGTACATTGCCTTAATCCTCATTGGTGAGCGATCTGTGTGTAGTTTTCTGTGCGCGCAATTTTTTGCTTGGGTGTTTTTCTGTGTGGGCACATTTCTTTTTACACATTTTCTGTTACCGCAATTTTCTGTGTGCGCATTTTTCCGTTGCGCATTTTTGCAGTGTTTGGCTATTGTATGCGCAGTGATGGACCAACCAACTACCAACACGACCAACCAACTACCAACTTGACCAACCAACTACCAACTTGACCAACCAACTACCAACTTGACCAACCAACTACCAACTTGACCAACCAACTACCAACTTGACCAACCAACTACCAACTTGACCAACCAACTACCAACTTGACCAACCAACTACCAACTTGACCAACCAACTACCAACTTGACCAACCAACTACCAACTTGACCAACCACCTACCAACTTGACCAACCAACTACCAACACGACCAACCAACACGACCAACCAACTACCAACTTGACCAACCACCTACCAACTTGACCAACCACCTACCAACTTGACCAACCAACTACCAACACGACCAACCAACTACCAACTTGACCAACCAACTACCAACTTGACCAACCAACTACTAACTTGACCAAACAACTACCAACTTGACCAACCAACTACCTACTTGACCAACCAACTACCAACTTGACCAACCAACTTGACCAACCAACTACCAACTTGACCAACCAACTACCAACTTGACCAACCAACTACCAACTTGACCAACCAACTACCAACTTGACCAACCAACTACCAACTTGACCAACCAACTACCAACACGACCAACCAACTACCAACTTGACCAACCAACTACCAACTTGACCAACCAACTACCAACTTGACCAATTAACTACCAACTTGACCAACCAACTACCAACTTGACCAACCAACTACCAACTTGACCAACCAACTCGACCAACCAACTACCAACTTGACCAACCACCTACCAACTTGACCAACCAACTACCAACTTGACCAACCAACTCGACCAACCAACTACCAACTTGACCAACCACCTACCAACTTGACCAACCAACTACCAACTTGACCAACCAACTACCAACTTGACCAACCAACTACCAACTTGACCAACCAACTACCAACTTGACCAACCACCTACCAACTCGACCAACCAACTACCAACTTGACCAACCAACTACCAACTTGACCAACCAACTACCAACACGACCAACCAACTACCAACTTGACCAGCCAACTACCAACTTGACCAACCACCTACCAACTTGACCAACCAACTACCAACTTGACCAACCAACTCGACCAACCAACTACCAACTTGACCAACCACCTACCAACTTGACCAACCAACTACCAACTTGACCAACCAACTACCAACGAGACCAACCAACTACCAACACGACCAACCAACTACCAACTTGACCAACCAACTACCAACTTGACCAACCAACTACCAACTTGACCAACCAACTACCAACTTGACCAACCAACTACCAACTTGACCAATCAACTACCAACTTGACCAACCAACTACCAACTTGACCAACCACCTACCAACTTGACCAACCAACTACCAACACGACCAACCAACACGACCAACCAACTACCAACTTGACCAACCACCTACCAACTTGACCAACCACCTACCAACACGACCAACCAACTACCAACTTGACCAACCAACTACCAACACGACCAATCAACTACCAACTTGACCAATCAACTACCAACTTGACCAACCAACTACCAACTTGACCAACCAACTACCAACACGACCAACCAACTACCAACACGACCAACCACCTACCAACTTGACCAACCAACTACCAACTTGACCAACCAACTACCAACTTGACCAACCAACTACCAACTTGACCAACCAACTACCAACTTGACCAACCACCTACCAACTTGACCAACCAACTACCAACACGACCAACCAACACGACCAACCAACTACCAACTTGACCAACCACCTACCAACTTGACCAACCACCTACCAACTTGACCAACCAACTACCAACACGACCAACCAACTACCAACTTGACCAACCAACTACCAACTTGACCAACCAACTACTAACTTGACCAAACAACTACCAACTTGACCAACCAACTACCTACTTGACCAACCAACTACCAACTTGACCAACCAACTTGACCAACCAACTACCAACTTGACCAACCAACTACCAACTTGACCAACCAACTACCAACTTGACCAACCAACTACCAACTTGACCAACCAACTACCAACTTGACCAACCAACTACCAACACGACCAACCAACTACCAACTTGACCAACCAACTACCAACTTGACCAACCAACTACCAACTTGACCAATCAACTACCAACACGACCAACCAACTACCAACTTGACCAACCAACTACCAACTTGACCAACCAACTACCAACTTGACCAACCAACTACCAACTTGACCAACCAACTACCAACTCGACCAACCAACTACCAACTTGACCAACCAACTACCAACTTGACCAGAAAACTACCAACACGACCAACCAACGACAGTGACATGAAGTAGCCTGCATTGAGAGGCACTTGATATCTGAGCAGATCTGAAGATTGGGCCTTAGTACACACACACACAGACGTACAGACACTTACACACACATATACTACACATGTGTAGATAGATTACACATTGGGTACTTGACACGAAGGTAATGTATTGTTTTAGCTCTTATATTATTATGTCTATCCACAAATATCTCATCTCACCACAAATTTCTTGTTCGACAAACACTGAACAATTTTAACATCAAAAGAGTTAAAACAGGAGCGATAATTATTCTCTTACTGTTTATATATATATATATATATATATATATATATATATATATATATATATATATATATATATATATATATATGTATATAATGATAAAACCTTGTATACAAATCAAAGAAGTAAAATGATGTCCAAGAAAACAATTTAAAATATTAGCCGTGCTGTCCATTTCGTTCAGTCTGTTGTGAAGAAACACCCTCTAGAATTTGAAACCTAATTTTAGAACATTTTTTCATGTTGTGCACACGTTTCAAAATTAAATCAACTGTAGAACCGTTAAACAATTGAGCAATCAAACAGTTGGCAGTTAAACAGTTGAGCAGTTAAACAGTTGGCAGTTAAACAGTTGAGCAGTTAAACAGTTGGCAATTAAACAGTTGGCAGTTAAACAGTTGGTAGTTAAACAGTTGGCAGTTAAACAGTTGGTAGTTAAACAGTTGGCAGTTAAACTGTTGGCAGTTAAACACATTGGCAGTTAAACAGTTGGTAGTTAAACAGTTGGCAGTTAAACAGTTGGTAGTTAAACAGTTACCAGTTAAACAGTTGCCAGTTAAACAGTTGGCAGTTAAACAGTTGGCAGTTAAACTGTTGGCAGTTAAACACATTGGCAGTTAAACAGTTGGTAGTTAAACAGTTGGCAGTTAAACAGTTACCAGTCAAACAGTTGGCAGTTAAACAGTTGGCAGTTAAACAGGCTTGAAACGAGGTGGGGTGTTCTGCTGATGACGTAGGCACCACGTATCAATGACAAGAGATAAGTAGAGCTGGTGGGGGGGGGGGGGGGGGGGGTCGGGGTGCTATCACACACGAACAAAGCCTTGATAAGATTTTCTGTTGTTCTTGTCTTGTCAGGTCCTTCTATTTGTCTTGTTCCCCTGCGTTGCTGTTCTTCTGGTTGTCAAGTAACCATTGATGTTCTGCTCAACTATTTGTTCCCCGGTCTATTATCTGTCGACCAATACCCAACCTAATGCTAATGTTCTGCCAGGAGAAATCCCGGTGGGCCGCTAGATTAACAAACGGAATAGGCTTGGACCAAACCCAGGGGTAAATATTTATAGTTTGACTTGAATCGGACTAAATAGTTGCACATGATATACGTGTAGCAACCAACGAATTAGCCGGCCATTTCGCACATTGACCGAGGCGTCTGGCCAATGCCCGATATGCTAGAGAATGCCAGTATATAATAGTATACATACTACTTTGTCCGGCCACTTCCCGACTTTTGCTATGATAGGGAAAAAATTCACAAAGAAAATTGAAGTCAGGGAAAGATGTCACTTTATTTTTTTCTCAGGTCGCACGGACACAGCTAGTCCACCCTGGTTAAAGATAATTAACATTTATGCTAATGTCCCTTGTCTTTGAGCAATAAAAAAACTTGTAATTACAAGTGACTTGTCTCTAAAGTTTGAAAATATTCCACGTTAACACATCTGACGTGAACACCATCTGACGTGAACATCATCTGACCTGACGTGAACACCATCTGACGTGACGTGAACACCATCTGACGTGAACACCATCTGACCTGACGTGAACACCATTTGACATGACGTGAACATCATCTGACCTGACGTGAACACCATCTGACGTGAACACCATCTGACGTGAACACCATCTGACCTGACGTGAACACCATTTGTCATGACGTGAACATCATCTGACCTGACGTGAACACCATCTGACGTGACGTGAACACCATCTGACGTGAACACCATCTGACCTGACGTGAACACCATTTGACATGACGTGAACATCATCTGACCTGACGTGAACACCATCTGACGTGACGTGAACACCATCTGACCTGACGTGAACACCACCTGACGTGAACATCATCTGACGTGAACACCATCTGACGTGAACACTATCTGACCTGACGTGAACACCATTTGACATGACGTGAACATCATCTGACATGACGTGAGCACCATCTGACGTGACGTGAACACCATCTGACCTAACGTGAACACCACCTGACGTGAACACCATCTGACTTGACGTGAACACCATTTGACATGACGTGAACATCATCTGACCTGACGTGAACACCATCTGACGTGACGTGAACACCATCTGACGTGACGTGAACACTATCTGACCTGACGTGAACACCACCTGACGTGAACACCACCTGACGTGAACACCATCTGACCTGACGTGAGCACCATCTGACGTGACGTGAGCACCATCTGACCTGACGTGAACACCATCTGACGTGAACACCATCTGACCTGACGTGAGCACCATCTGACGTGACGTGAACACCATCTGACCTGACGTGAACAGCATCTGACCTGACGTGAACACCATCTGACCTGACGTGAACACCATCTGACCTGACGTGAACACCATCTGACCTGACGTGAACACCATCTGACCTGACGTGAACACCACCTGACGTGAACACCATCTGACCTGACGTGAACACCATCTGACGTGACGTGAACACCATCTGACCTGACGTGAACACCACCTGACGTGACGTGAACACCACCTGACGTGAACACCACCTGACGTGAACACCATCTGACGTGACGTGAACACCATCTGACGTGACGTGAACACCATCTGACGTGACGTGAACACCATCTGACGTGAACACCATCTGACCTGACGTGAGCACCATCTGACGTGACGTGAACACCATCTGACCTGACGTGAACACCACCTGACGTGAACACCATCTGACCTGACGTGAACACCATCTGACGTGACGTGAACACCATCTGACCTGACGTGAACACCACCTGACGTGACGTGAACACCACCTGACGTGAACACCACCTGACGTGAACACCATCTGACGTGACGTGAACACCATCTGACGTGACGTGAACACCATCTGACCTGACGTGAGCACCATCTGACGTGACGTGAACACCACCTGACCTAACGTGAACACCACCTGACGTGAACACCATCTGACGTGACGTGAACACCATCTGACTTGACGTGAACAGCATCTGACCTGACGTGAACACCATCTGACCTGACGTGAACACCATCTGACCTGACGTGAATACCATCTGACCTGACGTGAACACCATCTGACGTGAACACCATCTGACGTGTCGTGAACACCACCTGACGTGACGTGAACACCATCTGACCTAACGTGAACACCATCTGACCTGACTGATAGATACTTTACTACACAGATATCTCCACGTTTCTAATTGGTTCGGTTAAGGTAATCTTTACTTCATTTTTGATAATTATTTTAATATCTAATTAGATAGAAAATCTGATATTCTTGCTTTGTCGTCGGAGATGCTCTTCCCTGCAAAGTTTGAAAGAATCAGATCAATTAAGAATCGAGCATAAGTTGCACTAAAACATCTAAAAAGTTTTGACACTTGATATATTTTGTTTCTCTTGTGATAGATGTCAATCTACTGGCTGACATTGGTGTGTGTGATGTCATTGGTGTGTGTGACGTCACTGGTGGGTGCACGCACACCAGTAGGTGAGTAGTCCAGCTTGACATTCAACGTTCAATGTCACATTTTCACGTTACTAGTCAAATGATTAACGTTATTTATCACATCGGAACGCTGATCTTACAACGTCCCTGAGTACGCCGATACAAAACTGACATTATATCTGGAGTTTTGTAACTAAATTAGATTGTTTTTAAAGTTTGTTTAAACACACACACACATTTGGTTGAACAGTTACATACACATTTTTTTAACGGTTACATACACATTTTTTTTTGAAAGGTTACATACACATTTCTTTTGAAACACATTTGATTTAATTGTTGTCTTTGTAGAGGTGATGAACGACGTGTGCAACAAGCAAGTGACGGTCAAAGGGTCACTTTTGTTGAGGCAGTCATTCGTCCAGAACCAGGACTGTGAGGTGACCCTGGTGACGTCAGAAGGGGCGGGGCTGGTGGCACAGTTCACCCACTACACCCAGCAGAACCACGGCGCCGCCCTCGTCGGTCTCATCACAGAGTGTACACTGGAGTATGTGCAGTTGGTCTCAGAGGGTGGTGACAAATTGATGGGTAGGTGGTGACACATTGGTGGGTAGGTGACACATTGGGGGGTAGGTGACACATTGGGGGGTAGGTGACACATTGGGGGGTAGGTGACACATTGGGGGGTAGGTGACACATTGGGGGGTAGGTGACACATTGGGGGGTAGGTGACACATTGGGGGGTAGGTGACACATTGGAGGGTAGGTGACACATTGGGGGGTAGGTGACACATTGGTGGATAGGTGGTGACACATTGGGGGGTAGGTGGTGACACATTGGTGGGTAGGTGACACATTGGTGGGTAGGTGATACATTGATGGGTGGGTGACACATTGGGGGGTAGGTGACACATTGGTGGATAGGTGGTGACACATTGGGGGGTAGGTGGTGATACATTGGGGGGTAGGTGACACATTGGAGGGTAGGTGACACATTGGGGGGTAGGTGACACATTAGTGGGTAGGCGACACATTGGTGGTGATACACTATTGTATGTCTGATATATCAAACACGCTGTGTTGCATGTCGTTCAGGTTCAGGCGGCTACTGCAAGAGTCTCCGGCCCACCCAGCAGTACGACCTGGGGGGTCGGGCCACCTTCATGTACCACAGGAGCGAGACCTCACTGGTGAGATACCTCTCGTTTGACCTGCTGGTCACTGAGGTCTACAGCAAGAAAGGTCATGAGGAAGGTCAGTGAGTGGGGGAGGATAATGGTGGGGGTGGGAGGTGGGGGTGATAGGGAGGGTGGGAGGTGGGGGTGGGAGGTGGGGGTGGGAGGTGGGGTGGGAGGTGGGGTGGGGGTGCGGTGGGGGTGCGGTGGGAGGTGAGGGTGAGGGTGGGAGCGGAGGGGTCTACAACGGTAGTCACTGCGGGGAGGGACTACAACAGTGGTGGTGTGGGGATTGATGTCAGAATGACGGTAGGATGAGTTAGAGTATGTTGGCACACGTTGAACTAACGAGATCTGGGGCTCTAAACTCACCTTGTACCCAGTTCAATTTCAAAATACAAAAACTACTCTCAGGTTTCTCAGAAGTTGGGCAACGAAAACATGTGCACGAGCATCTGAAACTTCAGCACATCAGTCCAACAACATCGTGAATAACACACAGACAAATGTTGTAGTTTTTGTTGTAGTTTTTGTTGTAGTTCTTGTTGTAGTTTTTGTTGCGTATTTTGGACTAAGTTCCCCCACGTCCAAGCCCCCTCCTACATGTAGGCAATTAATTTCTCTGAGATCATTATTCGATACCTTGATATTGACCTGCCCCCCCCCCCCCTGCTCCCCCAGGCTGTGCTGAGAGACAGTTCGACTGCGGCGAGGTGTGCATCAGCCAGCAGCTCACCTGTGACGGCTACGACAACTGCGGCAACGAGGACGACGAGAACGACGATTGCGGCCTCTCCAAGATCGCCATCATCGGCATCGTGGCAGGCGTCGCCGCTTTCGTCGCTCTCGTGATCTCCATCGTCATCTACGTCGTTAGACGGAAGCGTTACGTCAAAGTGCCACAAAACAAGCCACAGTAAAAAGTTGCTTGTTCGTGATTTTTGGTGGCGTTTTGGTGGCTTTTTAATTGCTTGTTTCAGTATTTTGGGGTCCTTTTTTGTGGACTTTTAGATTCATGTTTCGTACGAGAATATGTTTCAATGAAATAAATCTATCTAGTTAATATTTATTATTGGTTTGTTGATTTAACTAATCTGTTTAAGCAGAGAATAATCGTACTGTGCAGTAGTGATGCTTTTTTTTCTTCCTTAACTTCCCTCAGTTGGTCACTTTATTGTCTATTGCAGGGGTCTCCAAACTACGGCCCGCGAGGTCATTTTATCCGGCCCGCGACTATCTTTTTGTCCACTGTATAAATGTTTGTTGGAGGTGGCTGAGGAGCTTTGCACAGAAAATTCAAAACTATCTGAAAATGTAGCTTTGTGTGCAAAGACATTGTTGAAAACATTGTGACTCAAATAGCGAATAATGCAAGCAAGCTTCGCCATTTTTCAATTGAAATTGATGAGTCGCTGGGCAGCTGTTCCACCTCTAAACTTCTTGTGTTCATTAGAAGTGTGGATGAAGACATGAGCATAACAAAAGAGATGGCTTCACTACATATAGAGGATATCTAGCCATAGATAGTTCAGAGACAAACACAAAATCGCAAGATTTACCATATTTCACATCAGTAAGATTGCTAATTTTGCGAGAAAATTCTGAGCAGAGAAAAACAATTGGTGACTTCCTGATGGTAAAGGCAAGTCACAGCCAATAATGTCTGATGAAGAGTGCGTATAGAAATTGGCCTCTGCTGCAGACATAACTAGTCATTTAAATTTTCTGAACCTAAAGCGGCAAGAGAGGGAAACCTAGTTTCTGATCTATAAACCCACCTAAGATCTTTAGATACAAACTATCATGTTTTTGGAACAAGTACAGGCTAACAACTTGACACACTTTCAGTTGTGCAAGGTCTTTACGGCTGAAGCAACCACAGAGTTCCCCACGTCATTTGTATGCGAGATCATTAAAGACCTCCAGCTGCAGTTTCAGTAGCGGTTTTCTGACTTGGATTCAAAGGCAGAAGAAGTGAGACTATTTCAAAGCCCATATGATGCAAATGTGGCAATTTGTAAAGATGAACAGCAGCTGGAAGTCATTGAATTGCAAGCAAATGACCTCCTTAGAGACACGTTCAAAGAAGGGTGGGTGGGTTTTCATACGTTTTTGCACAAGGAAGAATTTCCTAACATTAAAACTTTTGCATCAAAGTACCTTTCAAATTTTCGAACAACATGCTGTGTGAACAAACATTTTCACGAACGAAATATGTGAAGAACAATTTGAGAACAAACGTGGACCTCGGGTGGGAAGGGGGGGGGGGGGGAATTTATACAAACATTTATAGAAATATATACAAATTTCATTTCGTTGGGGGGGGGGGGCGGGCGGTAGACGTTCTTCGGGGGGAGGGGGGCGCCACGACCCTGAAAAGAAGCCTTAAAGAAACTCTGGCCCCCGAACTAATATTTGATAGTTAATGCGGCCCTCGGGTTGAAAAGTTTGGAGACCCCTGGTCTATTGGATCACTTTACTAATAAAAAAGAGGAGACCCACGCTTTTCTTTATAGTAATTTAAACAGTAGTGTATTTTTATATATTTACAGAAACTCATTTATTTTCTACTTTTTACAAGCTTTTATTTAACTCACTTCCTCGTCAGTTTGTGCATTAGTACATAAAAGCCTGTTGTTAAAACGTTTTTTTATGAATTTTTTTCCTTACTTTAAATTTTTTAATGCAATAGAGTTACATGACTAAATGCCATTGCGCACTTAATGAGCGTGATGATGCGTGTCTAATCGTGCGGAATAGTTTGATGAGACAGCCTACTAATTTGGACACAATTTTAATTAATTCATAAAGAATTCATCAGGCAACCAATTAAGTCAAATTTAATGTCATGTTGCGTTGTCGTCATGTCTTGACCCATGTGCCAACGTTGAAAAAAACCTGTCAGTTAAAAGCGTCCGAAATTACGCTTGGGCGTTTCAATCTAGACAGACAGACTGACTGACGACAGAACGACAGAGACTTAAAAAAAAAGAATTAAAAAAAAAAAGCCTAAAACAATGTGTGAAGGCGAAATTGACCAAATCACAATTACGAAAGTTTTACAAAATTACACTATGTGTGTGTATACAGTTTTCGCTTGCAGGCTACAAGAAATAGTTTTTTCATCGCCTGTAAGCAGCAAGTATGTGCTGTAGCTAAACAAACAGGAACGAGTGTGGTATCCAACACCGGTGACATGAACTGTGACACAAATGTGTGACGTATACTCTGTTTATGGGATGAAGGCACCGCAATAAATCTAAGCATTATCTAACTTGCCACCCCCCCCCCTACTCCCCTGCCATGAGAAACTTCGAACGTTAAGTACATTCCTAAAATAGGTAAGGTCAATGTTGGTTGGTGTTGGTAGGGCACTCGATTACCTGCCAAACTTAGTCGTTCACGCTTTCATTGGACATGCCACATTTGTTGGGAAAGATTGCAAATATCCACTTGAAATAGATTAGGAGCCGTCACATTGCAGCAAACAGCCAGACTTAGGTGCGCCCTAGTGTATCCCACACAGAAAGCACAAGACAGTTTTTATCTCACAACTTCTAGAAATTGTCAGGCAGCAACAGGACCGTCAGTCTTGACGCAAGTGACGCAGTAGTCGGGCGTGGTAAAAATAGTTAAACCTTGTTTAGTTATCTTCGGGGTCATCCATAAATGACGTCACCCTTTTTTTGACGATTTTACCTCCCCCCTCCCCTCCGTAACACATCGTCACAAAAAGCCAGACCCCCCCCCCCTAAAATGACGTCACACCTCAGCCTACAACCATCCCTCAAAATTGCAGTTGGATTTGTTTTAAAACATCGATATTTTTCCAAAATCTTGTTTGAACTTAGTCAAAATTCATATTACAATTTATTAAAACAGTTTTCTTAAACGCAAAATAACGTCTAAAATTCGTTTTCTAATGCAAAAATGCGACGATACATCATCTGACCCCCCCCCCTCCCCCTCATCACACACCGTCACTAAATTACGCTCCCCCCTCCCTCCCCCTACGAGTGTGACGTCATTTATGGACGACCCCTTCGGCATTCTTGTATTATACTTTAATGGGCACATGTTTCTGCTGACTTCATTCTTTAAATTTGTTTATTGTTATCATTAGTAGATTATTTAAGTTGTGAGCAAGGTCCGTGTTTGTTGAGGGAAAAAAATCAATTCTTACAGTTTCTATTTTACAAGCATTTATTTAACTTCCTTTCTCGTGCTTTGCCTTCGTCGTAGATCGAAAGTGGCCAGCAAAATTTCGACAATTTCTAACAAAAAAATTTCTTCGAAACTTTGCACGTGGGTAAAGATCCAATGATAATACAATCTGACATCAAATTTGATTTAATGGACACCACCGAGTTGACGAGATATATTGTTCACATGGATAAAAAACGTGTTTTATTTATATTTTGCAATCAAAGCTATCGTAAAAATAATAACAGTTAAAAGCTTAAGCCTAAAAACAATTTAGAATTTAATATTTTTAGAATCAATGTTATAAAAGTTACAAATCCAGAGAACTTGAAAATATGTTTTTGAGTCTAAGGCTACATTTTTATTTATTTTCATCAAGCTTAAGTTATAACCCGATGTTTTACTTTCGTAAACAGTGGCGTAGCTACCGTAAAGCTAGCGCGTTTACAAGGCATAGGGGCCCAAGGCACATAGGGCCCTTTTCCCTCTTTAAAGAAAATTAAAACTTTTACACTGGAATTTTAATATTTCTTTAATAAAAATATTTTATAAAGAAAATGGAAAATGGAAATCCAGTTTCTTTTCTACTGTAGAAAAAAAAATCAAAAATTCCAACAAGCCCCCCCCCTCCCCCAGACCTTTCTAACTGTAGAGGCATTCAGTATGTGGGGGGGGGGGGGCGTATAGGGCCCATCGGTATTTATAACACTACAGGTGTTGTTGCATTGTCAGGAAAAACGTTGAGAGAATTAGCCTATACATAAACTTGAACATTGACTATTTTGTGAGATAGGCATCCAGCACTCGTAAATTTACAAGCATCGCTACAAAGCCCCCGCTTTTTGACGCTACTGTGTTAGTTACTTAAATGTTATTTTTTTGTTTGCTTTTACATAAACGTGATATGCAATCAAAGGTGTTTTACGTTACGGGGTACTGCATAATAACACCGTATACACAGTTTACAGATTGCCGAAGGGGCCCAATGATAATTTTTACTTAGGGGCCCGAAAATCCTAGATACGCCACTATTCGTTAGACAAACATTGATTGGCTGTACAGGAACTCTGTGATCGATTTTCTGACAGCCCCACATATCATAGTTATTTGTTTACAAAACTTAGCCGATAAAGTGTTTAAAATAAAATTATCTAATTTTAAACCACATGACCAAGTTCTGCCTTTTTTTACTTTCTCGTACATACGAAGTATAGAGAAAGTATTGTAATCGTGCAAACAAAAAATCGAGATTTTTACAAATCTCGACGTTTTACATCTCACTGCTACGGAAAAACATAATTTTGCAATCTTGTCCGTATGTCTGTGTGTCTGTCTGTGTACCGTTACAGCTAGGTTGATGAAATTTCATATGTAAGTATTTTATCAAAATCGTAGATCAGTATCAACTTTTGAGCGATTTCCGATAACCGGAAGTGGTACTTTTCCTACTTTTAAATTTTCAAAAGCCTATAACTTGAGTACTATTTCAGATAGATAAACGAAATTTCACATGTAAGTAAAAGATCTAATTCTCTACCTTCTGTTAAATTCCGTTGAACGGAAGTAGTAATTTACGCTACTTCCGATTTCTCAAAAAACTAATGTAAATTTTTAAAGTACTAATAATATTGCGCACTATTATGCACTTTTTTATTTAGCGTTCACTTGGTGTGCAATTATTTTGTCTACGAGATTTTATTCTATTTTTAAAACTTTAAGTATTTAAAATGGATTAAAAATCATGTCTATAGCCCGAGTTCCCATCCCCTGTTATTTTATATAAAAATATTCAAGAAAGTTTAGGGGAGATCACTTCCGGTTTTTTTGTTTTTTTTTAAAATAATTTTGTAAGATAAATCTATGCTAGCCTATCGAATACCAAGATGTCTTCGTTTATGTAGTCATTACCACGTGAAAACCAAATTACTTTTGCCTATTCTAAAATTTTTATATAATTACTAGAAATACTAAAACATTAAATACATCCACTCTTTTTAAAACTCCGTAAGAAAACAAACAGTCAGGATTTTATAATGAAATTAATTTTAATTACACCTAGCATGATTTTAAAAATATTTAATGGACTTCGAGTAATTTCTAGGCTATTCTCGGAAGGGGCCATTGGATGTCAAATTAATTTTAAAGAATTCATTAAATTTTCCTATATATTTGGTGCGCAATCAACGTTTTAGTCATGCAATAAGTATAAAAAGTCTATGTAATCATACTAAATTTTTTAAAAATCTTTTTGAAAATATGGCAAGGGATAAAGTTATAGTTATTTTGTAAAAATTAAAGCCGTTTTCAAAAACTGCCCCAGCCAGTCTGTGAAGTCAACCGGAGTGGCCAGGGAGAGTAAAACAATTGTCAGCACAATTTTTTTCGATGATTAAAAATAAACAATAGTGATCTATGGTGTATAGCGTTGTATTGTATGTTTATTAAATAAAATATAACATCCCCAATCACCACAACACCCTGACTCTACTAATCCAAATTAAAAATAAAAGTGTTTGCTAAATTACTATTATATTACTAGTAATTATTTCTTTGGCTATTTCTAGCTTTTATGAAACGGGAAGTAATTTTGTACTTATTATACAAATGTTATAAAATATTCAATTTTAATTAAAAAGTATGCTTTCTGGCAACAAAATTTTGGAACTATTAGGATTCGGCTTATCATGCCTATTCTATTGTATTAAAACTTTAAATTATTGAAAAAATCATTTTAAAAGTTTTAATAACAAGCTTGTATTATGCACTAAAAAGATGAAAAAAAAACATATTTTCATTCAATATATAATAATACACCAATATTTAAATAACTATTGAGAAGAGCGAGGATCACGAATTTCTGTATACATTTTTCAATATTTGTGCATTATTATATATTTAATGAAAATCCATTTTTACTTTCTCGTATTCGAAGTATAGAGGAAGTATTGTAATCGTGCATAAAAATAAAAAATTTGCCCGTATGTCTGTGTGTGTATGTCTGTTTGTATGTCTGTGAACACTATAACTGAATAGAGTTACAGCTAGGTTAATGAAAATTCATAGATAAGGATTATATCAAATTTGAAGTTCTGTGTCGACTTTTCAGCTATTTCCGGTAACCGGAAGTGCAACTTATTTTACTTTTAATTTTTCAAAAGCTATGACTTGGGCACTATTTCCGATTTTTAAATGAAATTTCACACATAAGTAAAAGATCTAATTCTCCGCCTTCTGTGGAATTTTGAGTAATTTCCGTTGACAGGAAGTAGTAATTTACGCTATTTCTAAAAAAGGAATATCTAATATATAAAGTTCAATTCTGTATGTGGCGGGCAGACGGAAAGGATTGACCAGTGGTACAAAAGAATATAGTTAAAAATCGACTTGATCGCCATAGTATAATATACGTAAAGTGTCTATTATCTAAATTAATGATTAAAAAATTTATATTGAAGGTTTTCTAAGTTTCATTTTCCAAACTTATCGTTTTAGTTGACGTTATGTGGATAAAACAAAATTAAAGAAAATGTATCACCCTTCACAAAAATTCTAATTGTGTCTGATAATTACTTCCCTTAATCCTTTAACATCAATTACTTACATTGATAGATCACCAAAAAAAAAATATTACTTCCGGTTAAAAAAAACATTACATCTTGAGAAAAATACTTTTTATTTGTTTGTTTTGGTGTTGGAAAAAAAAATATTTATATAATTAGCATGTATTGATTAAGTGCAATGTGGTAGGTAAAATACGAACATTTTAAATACTGCCTTTTATTTATTTTATACACTGAACGTACTGTTTATTAATTATTTTTTTATCGATAACATTTTATAAGCCGATCCTAAATGTCCTCTATGTTTACTTCCATCTTTCGGATTGCGAACAAGCTGGGGGTATTATAGTCTAGTCGTTCACTAAATTGAATCAGGCGCGTCCGCCGGCGCCCCGGCAGAGTGTCATTTGGCGCCATTGGCTATCTTGTGAGCGCAATGGTGCATATTTTCGTTTTAAAAAGTGCGATAAGATGTGGGTAAAAAGGGTTACTAAAGTCTTACACTAAATCGAATCCATGGCGTTCGTCGGCACCCCAACCGAGTGCTATTGGGCGTCCATGGCGTTCCCGTCATCGCTATAGCGTCGACGTTCGTTTAAGTTGTGCAAAAGAATTTGGATAAATTGTAGCATTATAGTCTTATACTAAGTTGAATCAGGCGGGTTTAATCAGGGTGCTATTTGGCAATATGCGTTTGCATTTAAGTTTCTGTTTATGTTCGCGTTTCATTTTGCATTATTTTTTTAGTTATTGTTTGCGTTTAGGTTTCCGTTTGCGTTTCTATTTGTGTTTGTGTTTGTCTAAAGGTTTGTGTTTGCATTTGTGTTTGCGTTTCTGATTAGGTTGGGTTTGTGTTTGTGTTTCGGATTTAGTATGTGTTTCTGTTTGGTTTTTCTTTTGTGTTTGCGTTTTTTTTGGTTGGTTGTGGTTAGGGTTAATTCCAAAAATAATATATTTCCTAAACCCGGGCAATGCCGGATATATGCTGATTACTAAACACACAAGTCATGGTCCTTTACAGATAGGTTTTTCACAGAGGCCAGTGCAGGGTCTGGCCGGGACGGCTAGTACTAATATTCCGCACTATTATACAGCTATTGTTTGCCGTTCACTTGGTGCACACTTCTTTTTTTTTCTACGAGATTCTATTCTATTTTTAAAAGTTTAAGTAATTAAAAATGGATTAAAAATCATGTTTATATTCCGAGTGCCATTCCCCGTAGTGTTATATAAGAATATTCGAGAACGTTTGGGGGAGATCAATCCCTCTTCATTTTTCTTCTAGTGCATAATTGTAAGAAAGCTTGTTATTAAAACATTTTAGTCACACTTTTTTTAGGGATAAACAAGAGATCAAGAAGAGCGGAAGTTTCATTTTTTAAATCTAGATACTGATTCCTACGCCTTTAGAAATCGGACTATTGCTGCAACATTTGTCGCGAAAACAACGACTGTTGCTAACATTTGCTTCTAGAACTTGGCCGACTTCCAGAAGGTATAAAAGGTCGAAAAGATTAAACACCCAGCCACCCAGGCTTACAGTGGACGACAAGGTACGCAACTTTTCAGCTTCTGCTCCTTGTGTTTGTGATGAAATATATTTTGTTTATGTTGTATTTGGTGAATTGAGTGCGTAATTATAAATAATCGTGTTTTGTATTCCAATCTTTGCCATTTTATTAAATGTAAATGGAGTAGTTTTCCACCGGTAAGAGCATTCTGAGTACGTTTGCACGCAATGTTAGAAATTCTAAACAACTCGAGCTCGCCAAGTTAATTTAATCCCACGCGTTCATTAATTAGAGATCTGCAGTAGTGCTAAAAATGCACTGCGAATCCCAATGTATGGCATTATCACCAAGTAGTTGTTGACGATAGAATAATTTGCCGATTAAAAAAATTGTATTCGAATGGTTTGGTCGAAGAAGACCCGGCGGCATCAATATTAGGAAGACTATAGAGTCATATGCGGGGTAAGCTTTCGATAGACTGACGCCGTATAATGCCATCTAAAACACGCGGGAGTTTGTGAGAGCAGCAATAGGAGACCGACTAGTCTTTGTCAGTGGGGGCTCTGGAAACATCACGCTACTCACTGGGTGCAGCTGAAAAAAAACAATGCGACTTTAACCGTTAGTTTGATAGCATTGCTGGCCTTTTCTTCTTAATCTGCTTCCTTTACTCTGAGCTAGGCACTGAATGCAACTTTGGGTCACTTGTTCAAGCTACCGACCTGTGCGTGACAGCTTTTAATCGATGTCCTGATCTTATCAAAAGACAAACACAGCAGACTGGCACATACAGACCGTTTGTTTGCACGCTGGCAGATGCCAAGAGGACTTGGCCGATGATAAAACGTATCTAACAAATGCGTATATCATAACGCAAATCGTGTGTATGTCGCGCAATTTCAACCTGTCATTTTCCATGTGCGTGTACTAGAATAGGTATGGATAAGCTATAAAATACATAGTGATCTATGGTGTATAGTGTAGTATTGCACTTTTATTAAATAAAATATAACATCCCCAATCACCATAACACCCAGACTCTATTAATTCAAATTAAATATAAAGCTGTTTGTTAAATTACTATTATATAACTAGATCTAGTAATTATTTCTTTGACTTTTCTAGCCTTAATGAAACCGGAAGTAATGTTGTACTTATTACACAAATGTCATAAAATATTCAATTTTGGTTGAAAAATATGCTTTCTGGCAACAAAAATTTGGAACCATTTGGAACCAGCTTTTCAAGTCTATTGTCTTTTTTCATGTGCATGTGCTAGAATTATCATATTCAGCTCTTGTTCTACTCAGGTCTTCTCTACACAAAATCAGATGGCACAACCAAAGTATCTGGCTCTTTTTTTGCTCTTGCTCAACGTACTCTCCAGCCATGGTTTAATGTTTTCAAAAATAAGTAAGTCAATTTTAGAGAACAGCGTAAAGAACAGTGTAGGCCTAGTACCTAGTATGTTTCATAATATTAGTATATGCCTAATGTTTAGACTCGCATACTCTGTATAATTGTGTATAATTTTCTTATTTCTCTCGTATCCCAGTCAGCATGGATAATTATTGTTCCGAGAGTTATACCGTGAAACATTCGGTTGTCATTCAGAACTCATTGGTACAACGCAAGGACTGCTCCATCACCCTCACACCCGACTCAGGCAACATATTGGTTGCGAGTTTCCACAACTACAAGCAAGACAACGTAGGAACTGTTATTGGTAGCGCCATAACCGGAGGTGAATGTCAGGAGTACGTCAAGTTAACTAGCAGAACCAACGGGAATTTGTTGGGTACGTCCTTTCATGTGTTCTTCACAAGCTTTAATTTAACTTGCATCCTCTGTCTGTCGTCAGTCTGTCGTCAGTCTGTCGTCGTGAATCGGAACGCCCGAGCGAAATTTAGGGCACTTTCTAACTGAAAGATTCGTTTCAAAGTTGGCACGTGGGTCCAGACACGAAGACAGTGCAATATGACATAAAAATTTTACTTAATTGGATGCCTAATTGGGGGTCGGCGTGGTCGAGTCGGTAAAGCTCATGGATGCTAAACCGAAAAGTCTCGAGTTCGAACCCTCGGGCAGATGAGGCTCTTTAGCTGGGGACAGCCACTCTTCTAGGAGAGACAATTCCAAAATCAAACAACTGCTGCCTTGTAGTTTGTTCTTATTTGGACAAAGGCTATGGAAGCAAATCCAAAAAGAAAAGCAGGCTGAAATCGGAGTCAATGGCCTCTATGGCGCATAACCAGTTGACACGTAATCCTTAATTGTGATGGAAGCATGGTCGAGTCGGCAAAAGCTCATGGTTGATAAATTCGAAAAAAGTCTCGTGTTCAAACCCTCTGGCAGATAAGGCTCGATCCCTTCCAACACTAAAAATTAAGAACGAAGAAGAAGAAGCATGCCTAATTGATTTTTTGTGAATTAATTACAATTTTCTGAAATTAGTAGGCAGCCTTATACAACTATTCCACACTATTATACGCGCGGTATCATGTTAATTTTAAAATACTGAAAAAAAATTGCAAAAATACGTTTTAATAACAAGCTTTTATATAATAATGAACTAAAAAGGGGAAAGTCTCTTGGATGCAATCATTTGACCGAAATAATTAATTCCAACAGAGTACGCAGTCTGAAAATATAGGACCAGATAAATAGAACATAATAAAAGAAATTAAGTGATAAAGCATAACCTGATTTCAACTGTTAGTTTACTGGCGTTGGTATGCCAAGGTAGTTTTCTAAATGAGTCTTTTAAAGTTGATCTGGCCAATGGCTTGAGTCTGGACGACTTGATGAGATGATATGGTTGCTCTATAGTGGACTGTGACACCTATAATACATAATGTAAGCCGAGAGACTACAAAAATATTGTTATGATTTAGCACTAGTCTAGTGTTGTATACTTTAATGAAACACTAAAAGAAAAAACTTTAATTGTGTGCTTTACATCAATGTGCCGACCAAACATAAATTTCTGACAAATATGATTGTTTAAAATTGTTAGTATAATAAGTTTTCAAAAAGGTGACACTTTTCTTAAAATGACCACCGATTCCCCCCCCCCCCCCCCCCCACCCCTCCTCTTCATACGCTACTAATTGTATGGTTGTATGGTAATATTGTGATCATATTTACTCTGACAGGCACCAATGGTTATTGTAGAAAGGAGAAGCCTGCGGATCAGTACAATCTAGGGTCATCTGCTGTTTTTGAGTACCACCGAGACAGTCACCTTCTGATTAGATCATTGAGCTATAGTCTGCTGGTCTCTGAAGTTTTTATTAAAGATCCCAATAAAAGTAAGTAGTTTTTTTTTTAATTTTAAACCTGTTACCAGGGCCGGTGCTACCTATAAGGCGTACTAGGCGATCGCCTAGGGCGTTATCTATAGGGAGTGCAAAAATGTGTAATATGTAAAAATGTGCCATTATTAAAAAAGTACCTAATGGTTAATAACTTTGATTATATTATATAAGCTATAGACAAGGTGTAGCGATCTATTTCGGTGCCCAGGACGAATTATCAATTGTGCGCCCCGTCCTCAAATTAGGCCTATATATAGTTATTCGTGTTGGTGAAAATTCGCCACTCCCCCACCTACCTCATTTAGACATGTCTGGGCGCTTTTTACCAGTCCTTTTTTTTTTTGCCTTTTTATTTAGGTGTCAAACAACTGATGTAGAACACAATTTAATCAGTCCGTAAAGCCGATATTCAAAATTGTAATTAATTACAGGGGCGGAACTACTATACCGCCAGACCCCGTTGGAGGAGGGGGGGGGGGGCAAAATAAGACAAAAAATATTTTTTTTGCACCTTGATAGACTAGACTAGTGGTTTTGTAAAAACAAAAATCAACTGCAGCAGAGAGTTTTCTACAATAACTAACACACACTGTTGCGTAGAGAAAAAAAGTTGTAGTATGAAAAATAGGTAAACCTTTAAACTACTCCCATGACTGTAAACGAACACGGGAAACCATTATAATGATTATATATAGATCTATCAAGTTTCCTTGTTTCATATTCATTTGACCAACTTGCCTACTAAGAAGTTACACTATTCATAATTTTCGACGGGCACAAATAAGATATTTTAAAAAGGCCTGAAAAAAAATTGCGGGTTGTGGTAGGGGTGGGGCGTTTCAATAAGTTTTGCCTAGGGCGCTAAATAGCCTGGCGCCGGTAATTCCTGTTACGTTCTTGTAGAGCTGTTTACCTTATTTAAGATGTTATGGTTATTTTAAGCAGAATTTTTAAAAAAATATTTTTTTAATTCGACTAAATGTACTTGTGTTAAGGATGATTGGTTCTAACGATTATGACGACATACATTTTCTAATTCTTACTGTGTGTTCATTTTTTATTGGGTAGGATCTGGTTTTTGTGACGGCACGAAGGTGTGGGGCAAATATCGGCTGAAAGTATGGAACCCCGACTCTACTCCCAGGACATATACCCTCTGGATATTACCTCCACCTTTAGCGACATGGTGGGAGTCGTAAAGGTCACATCCTATATCAAAGCTAAAAACAATTGTTTAACAATTCAAAAGTTGTAATAAATTATATTAAAATGTTGTAGTTGTCATGGGGGAGGGGTATCGTCCAGAGGGCTTAATGTCCTGTGGGGGGGGGGGGGGGGGGGTGAAGGCTATATGCAACAAAATGTCGCATAGATAATTGAGCAGTTATCTCCCTGTCCTAATTAATTGTTTGTGTTTGTTTGATAATTGAGATTGATTGCACCGTGTAAGATGACATGCTCCGATTATTTACATGTTTACCAGCAGAAGATGGACCTTACAGATGCTGTTGAGTTGTTCCAACAATATCCAAACTTAACAGACGATTCCAACGGCGGGTATCGCCCAACTCAAGTGGCTAGGGTTAGGGCTAGGGTTAGCCAGTGGCGTCGCTAGGTCGGGGGTTACCCGGTGCGGCACTTCGTAGTGTCACCCCCCCCCCACCTCTAAGAAACAAAGTATATATATATATATATATATATATATATATATATATATATATATATATATATATATATATATATATATATATATATATATATATATATATATATAAATATATATATATATATATATATATATATATATATATATATATATGTGTGTGTGTGTGTGTGTGTATGTGTAACTTTAATCACTGTTAATAATACAGTTGTATGTAGGATGGTTTTCTCTATAGTTAGCAGGTTGTAATAATTGTCGATTTGTACTTAAAAGAATATTTAAATAGAACTGGCTAAAAAGCATTTTTCTTCTGTACATTTTTCGATTTTTTTTTTGCCTTGGTGTCACCCCCTAAAATGGTGTCACCCGGTGTGGTCCGCAACCCACGCCCTCGTTATGCCTCTATGGGTTAGCTAACCCTACCCCTAGCCGAGTACGTCATCAAATTATAGTATATAAATAGAACATGTATGCATGTTTTAATTCTACCCCAGACTGTACCGATGGAACCTTCGACTGTGACAGATATAACTACTGTGTCAGTGACGAGGTCAAGTGTAACATCTATGACGACTGTGGCAATAGGGAGGATGAGACTGTGGGCTGTACAGGTAGCTTCATAGGTAAGTGTTGGGCTGTACAGGTAGCTTCATGGGTAAGTGTGGGGCTGAACAGGTAGCTTCATAGGTAAGTATTGGGCTGTACAGGTAGCTTCATAGGTAAGTCTGGGGCTGTACAGGTAGCTTCATAGGTAAGTGTTGGGCTGTACAGGTAGCTTCATAGGTAAGTATTGGGCTGTACAGGTAGCTTCATAGGTAAGTCTGGGGCTGTACAGGTAGCTTCATAGGTAAGTGTTGGGCTGTACAGGTAGCTTCATAGGTAAGTGTTGGGCTGTACAGGTAGCTTCATAGGTAAGTGTGGGTGGGCTGTATAGGTAGCTTCATAGGTAAGTGTTGGTCTGTACAGGTAGCTTCATAGGTAAGTGTGGGTGGGCTGTATAGGTAGCTTCATAGGTAAGTGTTGGGCTGTACAGGTAGCTTCATAGGTAAGTGTTGGGCTGTACAGTTAGCTTCATAGGTAAGTGTTGGGCTGTACATGTAGCTTCATAGGTAAGTGTTGGGCTGTATAGGTAGCTTCATAGGTAAGTGTTGGGCTGTACAGGTAGCTTCATAGGTAAGTGTTGGGCTGTACAGGTAGCTTCATAGGTAAGTGTTGGGCTGTACAGGTAGCTTCATAGGTAAGTGTTGGGCTGTACAGGTAGCTTCATGGGTAAGTGATGTCTCATGTAAGGGGTAACATTCACCTAGGAACAAGAATAAATTATTCTAACATAATCAAAACATTGTGTTGTTTTAAATACGAATTCAGTACTTATTAACAAACGAATAGGTCGCGATTGTGTTTCTAAATCCTAGTGTTCGGGAAGAACGAAATATGGTCCACAACTCAATGAGATTTCAACACAATCAGTGCGATTTTTTAACAGCGAATTTCAAATCAGAATATGAGTATTACCAGAAATGTGAAAACATTCCACACTGTATATACATTCACTTTCCGACATGTGAGCAACCAATCGACTAGCCTGTTGTTTACCTGAGCATTTGATCTATTGCAGGCTACAGTCCAGTGTTGATGCTACTCGCAGCTGTGCACTACTTACGTTCTCTTTCAATGTAATCGAAGCATTGTGTAGAAGGCTTGGTATTTGTTTTATTGCTTGATTAATGTTACACAAATCAATAACCCAATGAACGAAATATAAATGTTCAGTGAATATTTTAGGATAAGTTATCATAAATTTAGAAAATCAATGTGAATTTTTTTTAAGGTGTGATATATATTTGATTCGTTGTTGGTCAGTTGGGGAAATGTTTGGGCTTGATGTCACGTGATGACGTGACGATGACGGCGTTGTTTGGTTGACATTAATTTAACATAAATATACGAGAGTGTATGCCAGTAAAATTATCTATTGGTAAATAACTTCGGTAAATTTAAAATAAATTGCTTTTGCTTATATATTTTAACAAAATAAAATATGTTTCTAAAACTAGTTTTTTTACAAGCTTTTAATTAGTTCGCATCGTCTGTTTGTTTGTTTGTGGGTTTGTGGCAAATCTTGTATCTCAATTTTGACCTACTTCTAATGCAGCGATTTCGTTCAAACTTACCATTTACGTTCCACTCTGATGACAATACAAGTCTATCTAGTTTTTTAAATTTAATTAGATGTTTAATTTGTCATTAAAAGTTAATTAAACGGTTACGAAACTATGTGGAGATAACAAATTTAAAGCGTTCGATAATTACTATATTCAACAGAAGGGGAGATAACTATCAGGACGAGCTCACTTTTACAATCCGGTGAACTGTGATTCACGAGAATGTATACAATTGTAGAGCCAGTCGATCTAGTAAAGGCTATTAGGGACAGATAATATAGAGTTTAAACATATTTGAAACTAAGCAGAGGTAGTAAGATTAATAACTATCCTTTGCTTTATTAACTTGCTGTTGTTCGGAAACTGTAGTCACTCACGGCTGGTTTCACTGGGCAGATAATCGTCTTTCAGATATCGCGAGCTACTGATGGTGTTTTAATTAAAGCCAGTGGCGTAGCGAGCTACTGATGGTGTTATAAAGCAAACATTTTTACTTTTCTGGACTTGATAAATTAGGATTCGCTAAAAAGTAGAAATATTAAATGCACCTAAAATTTGTAAGAAATCTCATTTGTTTTATTTATTATCTTATTATCTGGCTACAAGCTACCATTATTACCCTAAAATTTGGCGCCAAAATTTTAAAAGTTTTACTTACAAATGTTTTTCAGAGACGACACGTTAAATTTAGATATTTATTACAAGCTTTTATTTAACTAGCTTTCTCTGTCTCTATGTCTGTTATGATTTTGTCTTTGTCGTGATTCCCAACTAGCGAGAAAAAATTTGATCACTTCTAATAGACCGATTTCTTCAAATTGTCACGTGGGTCACGATTTGATGACAGAGTAATGGTACATCAATTGGGACTAAATTGGATGCCTAGTTATTTTTAAGAACTAATTAAAGTTTCCTATATAAAGTAATATTTCCCGCGTTATTATACGCACATTGGTAATGTTCATCTGGTGTGGAATGTCTAAACTTAAATGATAACTGATACATGAGTGTGTGTCCAAATTTTTAAAATACATTAAGCTACGCTCAGAGCAACAACATGTCCACTTTTAATTTATTCTAAATCAGGTTTCGCTACAAAAAAATAAAAAGCATCATAGACAAGTCATTATAAATAAAACCGCTCTTTACTGACTTTCATGGTGAACAACAACCAATATGATAAAATTAAAGTATACATGAATAAAATGACGTAACACTACCGTGTCAGAGTATATAGCTTTTTAAACCGTCATTGCAAACAATTGCAAAGCCTAATATTGACGTAAAAAAATTGAAAACAAAAGTACAAAGTGTAACAGAAATATATATATATATATATATATATATATATATATATATATATATATATATATATATATATATATATATATATAACACTGCCTCAGTAGGGATGATTTCACCCACTGAGGTGTAGTGTTTAATTGGGCTGACCCTGAGAGATAACACATGAAGAAATGATGCTGCTGTTGTTAGATACTGGCTTTATTTGCAGGTTAGTCATTAACATACAAGCCATAAACGACTATGTAGAATATGTAGAACAATAGCCCTAAAACAAATGTAAACAATAGATTACATCACGAAAGATACTACTACGTGTAGGCTACACAAATAGGTTACGGTCAGTATACAATACTGCCAACAATTACCAACAAAAATCAACAAGTATTACAATGATAAATACTTAACCCAACTAGTTCGCAACATGCAGCACTAGCAGGAATAGTACAAGTAAGTAATCTAACTAAGATACTTCATACCTAGTCTGCAACAAGCAGCACTAGCAGGAACAGTACAGTAATATAAAACATAATTTACATTACCTTCATTAGGTCTACATGATCAACTTTTACATGATCAACTTTTACAAGACCAACTTATCATAGGCAATGGCACCATCCGTGTCCACAGCAGCCTTGGGTTTGAATGACACGGACACAGGCACGAACTACCCAGAGTCCCAGAGGTCACATGACATGGAATACGAGCATCGCTCACCGAAGAACAATAAAAAACTACATCAACAGTTGCGGTCCCATAACTTATAATTTATCCCCCTTGACCGGTAACCATGATATGTGTTACACACACACACACACACACACACACACACACATATATATATATATATATATATATATATATATATATATATATATGTGTGTGTGTGTGTGTGTGTGTGTGTGTGTGGTTACATGAAAAATGATCGCAGGACAAATAATCTCAAGGACAAATGATCTCAAGGACAAAAGATACCAGGACAAAATGTACAAAATATCTCAGACACAATTTCTTACAGCAAAATTTTAATAGTTGATGTGTTGTTATTAATCTAAGGTTCCAGTTCAGAAAATATAAAAGGAAAAAATCGATGGGTTTAAAAGACAAAAACATGTAAGCTGAGGTGTGACTTCTTTTCTGTTGTATTTGGTAAAGTTGACTTTCGGGACTGACGAGACAGGGACATTTTAAGTACTATTCACCTGTTTCTGCGACCTCAACATACAAAGGGATAATGTGGTCTGCACTATGCTCAACTGAATTCGGTATTTTTAAAAGACAAAAACATGTTTGCTGCGGTGTAAAGTCTATAATATATATATGAGGGTCTGGCATTTTGTGACGAAAAAAATCTTCGAATAAGCGTGACGTCATTTGTAATGACCCCTAAATCCATAGTTATACTAAGGATAATAGATTGTTTAGTATTAACTTAAATCGGGGAAAAATGTTACTTAAGAAATTAGATTTGAAAAAAAATATTTTTAAATTCAATAAAGCTAACTCTGTTTAAAGGGTTATATCAACATAAACAATAGCATGCACATCTTAAATCAACAAACGGTTTAACAATAATCTCAGTAATAATCTCAGTAACGAGTTAAACTTAACTGACCATTTATAATTGCAAACATAATTTTATTCGTAGTTTAACAAGACTATTAAAAAAGATAACACTTAAATAAATAGCAACTATTAACATTTTCAATATGCCAACTCCGTCGTTTCTCGACATACAATTGCAATGTTTCTTATTGAATACACCTGAACCGAATGAATTTTCACATCCTGTGGATTAGGAATTCCCTTTACATCAAGTTTTTTTCTCTTTCAATTAATCTTCATTCTCGACATTTATTCCAATAAAGATTATCACCATAATGGGAGACGTGTTTCAACATTTTTATGCTAGATGAGCTGTAATTGCGCTGTAGACGATTCCTGTTGGTGAATTATGGAGTGGTTACGTAGCATGACGAATAAAATGCGAAAATATATCTCCGTATTCTATGGACAAAAAATTGATCACAACAAATCGGACAGTTTGTTGCAAGATATACGACTGTTACAAAGAGAGTGATACTTTACAGCGATTTACTTCATCCAGCTGGTTTATTTAGATTCGCTTTTTTTTTGAGAAAATCATATATGAAAGTAGCCGTTACTTGTGTGCCCATTAAGGTTGATTCTAGTTTCATATACAGTAAGTTAATAGTAAATTAATAGGGAATATTTGACCACAAATTTAGGTTAATACTAAGTATATTTTCACCACACTTTATATTGTGTATATAACTTACAGATTCCTCATTACAAACTGCTATCTTTCTACAATAAACCGGTTTCTCGAATATTTTTATATAAAATAACAGGGGATGGGAACTCGGGCTATAGAAATGATTTTTAATCCATTTTAAATACTTAAAGTTTTAAAAATAGAATAAAATCTCGTAGACAAAAGAATTACACACCAAATGCACGCTAAATAAAAAAGTGCATAATAGTGCGCAATATTATTAGTAATTTAAAAATTTACATTAGTTTTTTGAGAAATTTACTACTTCGGTTCAACGGAAATGACTTAAAATTTAACAGAAGGTAGAGAATTAGATCTTTTACTTACATGTGAAATTTCGTTTATCTATCTGAAATAGTACTCAAGTTATAGGCTTTTGAAAATTTCAAAGTAGAAAAGTACCACTTCCGGTTATCGGAAATCGCTCAAAAGTTGATACGGATCTACGATTTTGATAAAATACTTATATATAAAATTTCATCAACCTAGCTGTAACGGTACTCAAGTTATCGTGTTTACACACACACAGACAGACAGACACACAGACATACACACAGACATACGGACAAGATTGCAAAATTATGTTTTTCGTATCAGTGAGATGTAAAACGTCGAGATTTGTAAAAATCTCGATTTTTTTTTTTTTGCACGATTACAATACTTTCTCTATACTTCGTATATACGAGAAAGTAAAAATATACAAAGTATTTTTTGCACAAATCTTAATTTCAAGAATGTTATCATAATTTATTATCTTTAAATTTAACAGTTTTTGTAGTAACATAACAAACTTTAACACTGAAACCAGTATTCATTTGCTCTTGACTCAAGGAAAGCTCGTTTTTTTTAAATATAGATATTTTCGATATATATCAATTTTTCAAAGCGTTTCGTAATATAAAATTTTGTAAAAGCCGAAAACAAATTGTTGCCATGTTAATCAATAAATAGAAGATTTATATTACTAATAAAAAAACATAAATCTTCTATCCAATCTTACCCTGTGTAATATTGTACAACATTTCGATAGACCAGTATCTTACATATAAGCCACTAAGGAGTATGTCAGTCCTTCCTTCCTTCTGTCTTTCCGTCCTTCCGTCATCAATATAGCAGCTTTGATTTCGTATTTAAAGCTTGAAAAATGTGGACTTTTTTTTTCATCGCTCAAGTACCATTGAATAGTAAAAAGCTTATATATAAAGATGAAATGGACATATCTTTCTCTGTATATATGTGAAATGTATGTTTGTGTAAGACATGCATGTAGTAAATAAAAATTCACCTTGTCGCCATTGTGTAATATTCTAAACTGTTCATTTTTATATTAAAATCTAAATTACTGTCTGAAAATTTTAATATTGATCATTTTCAAAATAATATTTCATTTTACAACTTAACCATTTAATTTAAATAAATCAAATAACATGCGCTACTTTTTTTTTTAATTTAATCTGAAAAAAAAATTTAAACTCCATCCATTTGTATCAATTATTTCACTTGGAAGGGGACTTTTTTTTAAAAATATTAAATCAGAAACAAAAAACTTTTTGCTAAGTTTGTTAAGTTTGTTCTGATGTTGGAAAAAAATTGATGTAATTAGCATAAAGTGAAATGTGGTAAGTAAAACAAAGGCATTTAAAATACTACATATTATATATTTTACACACTGGATGTACTGTTTACTAAATATTATGTTTAATCAAGAATAGTTTGGAAGCCGTCCCTAAATGTCCTCACATTCCAGGAGAATGAATGGATTGGAACCAGTTGAACATTGGTGCGATTTGATATAACTGGATGGGTGCAGGAGGAAAGAGAATAGGCGATCATTTGTATTTGTATTTGTATTTGTATTTGTATTTGTATTTGTATTTGTATTTGTATTTGTATTTGTATCTGTATTTGTATTTGTATTTGTATTTGTATTTGTATTTGTATTTGTATTTGTATTTGTATTTGTATTTGTATTTGTATTTGTATTTGTATTTGTATTTGTATTTGTATTTGTATTTGTATTTGTATTTGTATTTGTATTTGTATTTGTATTTGTATTTGTATTTGTATTTGTATTTGTATTTGTATTTGTATTTGTATTTGTATTTGTATTTGTATTTGTATTTGTATTTGTATTTGTATTTGTATTTGTATTTGTATTTGTATTTGTATTTGTATTTGTATTTGTATTTGTATTTGTATTTGTATTTGTATTTGTATTTGTATTTGTATTTGTATTTGTATTTGTATTTGTATTTGTATTTGTATTTGTATTTGTATTTGTATTTGTATTTGTATTTGTATTTGTATTTGTATTTGTATTTGTATTTGTATTTGTATTTGTATTTGTATTTGTATTTGTATTTGTATTTGTATTTGTATTTGTATTTGTATTTGTATTTGTATTTGTATTTGTATTTGTATTTTGTTTTCATGCTTGCATTTAAGTTTATGTTTATGTTAAGCGTTATTTTTTGCGTTTAGGTTTGCGTTTGTGTTTTTTGTTTGAGTTAGTGTTTTGTAATTGAGTTAGCGTTTTCAATTTTTTTTGTGTTTAATTATATGTTAAGCTAGGTTACAAATTTTCGTCCTGTGTTAGCCAGGTTTAACCACTTTTAACCACGTTTAACCAAGTTAACTTTAATTCATTCAATTAGAATGTAGGACATGTTTCCCTGATAAACTGGACACAACGAGAAGGGGCTATGATCTTTTAGCTATTCAACCTGCACGAAATAAAAGATAAGAGTTTTTTTTTTGGTTACAATAATAGCAAAACCAAGTTAGGTGAATCTTTCAGTCAAGAAAGTCATTTAGTCATTCAGGTGAGTGAGTCAATCAGGTGAGCCAGTCAGGTACGAACAGTAAGTCATTCATTCAGTCATAAAATAGACATTGTCGTGGCTGTGTAGAATATGTGTTCAGATTTAGTGTGTATTGTGTTTTGTAGAATGTGTGTGTAGATAGTGTGTCGTGTTGCTCTAGAGTTAAGGAGCTCTTAGACCAATGTTTAGTTTAGATAACGTTCTTTAGTTCGCCTGTCACATTCAGTGGCGCAGAGGTTAGATTACAAATGCTTTACGCCTTCCACAGCACAGTACCTAAACAATACAGCAGTTACACAATACATACATAATTATATTACATAGTGATTACACAAAACACTTATTACACTACATAGTGATTACACAAAATGCTAATATTTAACAACACACTAGCTACACACTACTCTTCACTACACTATACATTATGAAGTGAACTGATTACCTGTCAACTTCTTCCTGACAAAGCCACCTGATTAATTGAAGAAACATTTCTTCGAATAGAGCACAAAATATTTTTTAATGTAATTAAATAGGATATTGTTCATCAATCTAATATATAAAGTTCAATTCTGCATGTTTGTTAAAACAAACCGCGCATTCCAAATAAATATAAGAATTTAATAGACCCCCATCCTATTAATGTTTAACGTCTTAAGTGCTCGTCGTTTAAATCCATAATTTTAAAAATTAATATTGGAGGTGAAGTAAAACAATTTTTATTTTTCTTATAGTGATTATTATCGGCATGTCCATCAAACAAAATGTTTTAAAAAAAATGCATCAACTTTTACAAAAATTCTGATTGTGTCTGAAAATTATTTACATTTAGTTCTTTAACGCTTATTACGTCCCTTGATAAATTATAAAAACTTTATTACTTCCTTTTATAAAAATATTTACTTTTTTTTACTTTCTCGTATATACGAAGTATAGAGAAAGTCTTGTAACCGTGCAATTTTTTTTTTACAAATCTCGACGTTTTACACCTTACTGATACGGAAAAACATAATTTTGCAATCTTGTCCTTATGTCTGTGTGTCTGTGTGGCTGTGTGTCTGTCTGTCTGTGTGTAAGCACGATAACTTGAGTACCGTTACAGCTAGGTTGATGAAATTTCATACATAAGTATTTTAACAAAATCGTAGATCCGTATCAACTTTTGAGCGATTTCCGATAACCGGAAGTGGTACTTTTTCTACTTTGAATTATTCAAAAGCCTATAACTTGAGTACTATTTAGGATAGATAAATGAAATTTCACATGTAAGTAAAAGATCTAAATCTCTACCTTCTGTATATGTGTTGCATTTTTTTAAATTATGTTGTGGCTTCACAGCCTTTTTAATTATGTCTTATTATATCCCTCACCTCACTCACATGTTAAAGATTTCTTGGTCTACCGACTGACAAAGACCTGCCGTCTGCCACTACCAAACATGTCCTGGATCTCACGTCTGCTGCTTCTGCTCTCGTCTGCTACAGTTTGTTTGGCCGCAAGTTCTCCAGACTCTCGTAAGTTTTTTAATTTATTGTAATTTATGTTAATGACCTAATTGTTTGGCCTTTTGTTTTGTACTTTTTTATTTTATGGTAATTTACGTTACATGTCTAATTTTTTTGCAAAGATGAAATAATTTGAAATTCTTTTATACCTCCAGTGTTTCTGAACGACTACTGCGGTGAAACTGTAACTGTTAACGGCTCTGTTAAATTAAAACTTTAAATTAAAAAAAATGTTTTCATGTCCAGTGTACCTAAGCGACTACTGTGGTAAGAGCCTGACTGTCAAACGTTCGGTCATCCTGAAGTCCACAATATTCCAGGACAACAACTGCAGGGTGACGCTTGAACCCTCCACTGGTAACAACCTGGTGGCACACTTCAACACCTACAGGCAGACGTCCGGGGTTGCAGCTTTAGCCAACATCTTCAGCGGGGAGTGCTCGTCTGAGTACATTCAGTTGTACAATAGTTTTGGTGAGAAACTAATGGGTGAGTATTCTATACAAGGACATATAGAGCACACGCAGATAAACACACAGACACACGCAGAGACAAACACAGGCAGACACACACACATACACTTAAAGTGCCTCACCAACGCTCATGCTGATTGTGCTAAATATGTTGTAAACCAACATTTTGACTTTAGGGTGGAATATTTTACAATTAAAATAATTTACACGGTTCAGTCGAATGAACTACTTTCTCATTACTGTCTGTCTGGATAAAAAAATTCATTAAATACAAAACCAAAACTTGAATACAATGTGTATAACCAGCTTTCATTTCCACTATCTCGTACTTGTTATAATTTATACGTCTTGAACATTTATATTTTTTATTCCCCAGGAATACACGGCTACTGCAAGTCTGAGAGACCAACTGAACACTACGAACTGGGCCAGTCTGGGAGATTCGAGTACCACAGTGCTTCCCTGACGTACCTCAGCTTTGAACTGTTGGTCACCGAGACGTACAAAAAATCCACGTCAGACGAAGGTTGGTCCTGCTCATTTTATGGCCGTTTTGTTTCTTTAATGATTTAATGTGGTCTTTTCTACATGAGCTGCGTACAAGCTATAATTTACATCAGTTTCTCACTTGGGGGCCGCATTTTGTGACGGTGTGTGATGAGGGGGAGAAGGGGGGTTCAGATGGTGCGACGTCACACTTTTGTAAAAATAAAAAAAGCCATGTTAGAAAACTATTAGACGTTATTTCGGGTTTTAGAAAATTGTTATAATAAATTGTAATAGGAATTGATTGAAATACTCTATATAGACAGAGTTCTGACAAGATTTTGGAAAAATATCGATGTTTTAAGAAAACTTTAACTGCAATTTTGAGGGGGGTTAAAGGCTGAGGTGTGACATCATTTTAGGAGTGGGGTCTGGCTTTTTGTGACGACGTGTGACGGAAGGGAGGGGGGGGGGGCTGGTAAAAATCGTCAAAAAAAGCGTGACGTCATTTATTGAAGACCCCCTAAACACACCGATGCACTTACAGTTTACACACATGACATGATGTTGTAATTTGTTATACTTGAAAAAAAAAACCACCACTTTTATTACAAAACCCGAACAGGTCAGCAATGGGTATCATATGTTCGTATTTTGTGTTTATACACCAGAGGCGTAGCGAGGGGGGGGGGGCGAGGGGAACTTATATCCCCGGGCGCCGACCTTAGGGGGGGCGCCAAAATGGGTTGGAAAAATTGAAAGTTTGAGGAAGTGCAAATCGAAAGTTTGAGGGGGTGCAAATCAAAAGTTCGAGGGGGGGGGGGGTGCAAATCGAAAGTTTGAGGGGGGAGGGGTGCAAATCAAAAGTTCGAAGGGGGGAGTGCAAATCGAAAGTTTGTCCCCGGGCGCCGGGAAGGGTTGCTATGTCTCTGTTATACACACACACACACATACACACACACACACACATATATATATATATATATATATATATATATATATATATATATATATATTTATATATATATATATGGAGGGGGGCTAAACATTTTTTTGCGGGGTGGCCCTTTTTTTCTAGTTCCGCCACTGGTCACAGCCCGTCATTGTTTTGGTGACACGTCTTTTTCTTCGTTGTCTTTTGTCCAGACTGTCCAGCTGGTCAGTTGGTCTTGTTTGTCCCTCTGTGTAATGCCACATAGCACGACATAATAGCTGTTGTTTCATCTTGTCCAGAATGTCCAGCTGGTCAGTTTGTCTTGTTTGTCCCTCTGTGTAATGCCACATAGCACGACATGTCACCAGTTGTTTCATCTTGTCCAGAATGTCCAGCTGGTTAGTTGGTCATGTTTGTCCCTCTGTGTAATGCCTCATAGCACGACATAACACCTGTTGTTTCATCTTGTCCAGAATGTCCATCTGGTCAGTTTGTCCTGTTTGTCCCTCTGTGTAATGCCACATAGCACGACATAACACCTGTTGTTTTATCTTGTCTAGAATGTCCAGCTGGTCAGTTTGACTGTGAGTGGCTCAGGAACTGTGTGGACGATGCCCTCAAGTGTAACGGCTACAACAACTGCGGCTCTAATGATGACGAGACCGTTGGGTGTGGACCACCCTCGTCGTTATTGCTCTCAACACTGCTGCCCTTGATTCCATAGGTGTTGTGTTTGTTGAGGTCAATGTCTTGAGTCAGTGATGAGTTTAGAGTACTCACCATTAAACTTAATAACCTCCCAGATTTGTTACCTGGTTTTGTGTGCATGACTGTTAACCTGTGTGTCGCGAGTCTGCAAGTCGTCGACACAACTCTGGTCGGCACCTGACGCACGCTAGAGGAAGTAAAAGAGGTTTGGCATAGTGCAAACCACATTTTTTTTCAAATGCCGAAGTCATAAAATTACATAAGCTCTAAGTTTATCTGCCTATGGACCAGAAAGATGTTCAACGGAAAAGTGCGCAACGTAAAAATGCGTTAACAGTAAAAAGCGCAAACAGAAATTTGCGCACACAGAAAAAATGCGCAAATAGAAAAATAGTGCAAAGAGAAAAATGCGCACATAGAAAATGCGCGCACAGAAAAGTGCTCACAAAAAATGCCCAAACAGAAAAGTGCGTGCACAGAAAATGATATACAGATCTTTTGGTAATTAAGAGTGTGACAATGTGTGTATGTATGTGTGTGTGTTTATGCTGGCATGTTTAAGTTGGTCTGTGTATGTGTTTATACATGTAAATCACATAATAAACATTACTGTGGATTGTGTCTATAGCTTAACAAAAGTGCTACTACTATAATGCATAGCACTAATTAGACGTTGGCTTTAATTTAATAATTGGTGAGATATTAATGCTAATCTATGTGTAAATAGCTTTTCAGGACTCTGAGTGTTTAGCCAGTGTTAATCAGTCCTATACACACTGTGCCTAGTTTCATCCTCAGGTATCTGTAGGCATAATCCATTTTTTTAAGTATGTATTATAGCAAGAGATTGCATTATATGTTATAATAAATATAATGGATTTTAATCCAAAATATTGTATTAATTATTGTCTTTTCTTAAATTCTAATAAATCAGTGAGTTGTACAACATACAGGGTATTATATTTGAATGATAATTGAAACCTACTGTTATAGAGCGCTAGATTAACAAACGAACTAGGCTTGGCCCAAGCCCAGGGGTAAATATTTATAGTTTGACTTGAATCGGACTGAATGGTTACACATGATGTACGTGTAACAACCAAATCCCGAAAGTTAGTCATGTATTCAATAAGCTGGTAATTTCGCACATTGACCGATACGTGTGGCCAATGCCCAATATGCAGTGTAAATGTTACGGTCAAAGCCCGAAGTGCGGCCAAAGCACGCATTTGCCGGCCAATGTGCGCATTAGCTGGCTCTCTTGGCCAAAGTCCGAAGAGCTTAGCACTGAGAGCGTATTTCGTAGATTGGCCGGCCAATGCGCGCACTATCCGGCGTGTCTTGGCCAATGTTCTATCTAGACTAAGTTGTGATCGCGTTTTCAATATTCTGGGTGCGGTTTGTGCTTTGGCCGACTTCGGGCTTTGACCGTAACATTTATACTACTTTTTCCGGTCACTTCCTGACTTTTGCTATGATAGGGAAAAAAATTCACAAAGAAATTTGAAGTCAGGGAAAGATGTCACTTTATTTTTTTCTCAGGTCGCTCAGACACAGCCAGTCCACCCTGGTTAAAGATAATTAAAATTTAGACTTATTTCCCTTGTTTTAGAGCATTTGAAAACTTGTAATTACAAGTGAATTGTCTCTAAAGTTTGAAAATATTCCACGTGAACACCATCTGACCTTACTGATCAATATTTTACTACTCATATATCTCCACGTTTGTAATTGGTTAAGGTAATCTTTATTTAATTTTTGATAATTAATTTAATATCTAATTAGATCGAAAATCTGATATTCTTGCTTTGTCCTCAGAGATACACTTCCCTGCAAAGTTTGAAAATATCAGATCAAGTAAGAATCGAACATAAGTTGCACTAAAACATCTCAATGATTGGGTATTTGTGCCATACATGGTACGGCGTGGTCGGTTGGTAGAGCACATCACTGCTAACCCAAAAGGCTCGAGTTCTGATCCAGGACTCCTTAAGTCCACCCAGCTCAATTGGGTACATAATTCAAATTAGTGGCGGCTAGGCATTGTGTTGTGGATAACTTTCATATCATAAATATTTGCTGCATTTTAAATGTCATTCTAAAAAGTTTTGACACTTGATATATTTCGTTAGACCAGTCCCCCACCCCCACATCCCAGTCGTGTGATGACGTTGTCCCCTGGGTGGGGGTGGAGGCCACCATACGGCCAGAGTCCAAGATGACGACAGGCTATAATAAAAAACCAAGCCTTACCATTGGTGGATGCCTGCAGTGGGGAGTCTGGCCCGCGTTAGCTGGGAGACAGTTATCTCGGTGTCACGTTTTTCACTCGACCCCACTCTCCGCGCCCGTGGGTGTTGGGTGTACGACCCTGGACATTTGTTTAATTACTAAAACCATTGTGGTCTTGAAACAATAAGTAGCAAACAGTGTCAGCTCCTCTAGTTTATAGCTGCACCATTTATCAGAACCAATCGGACGGTCGCTACAACTTTTATTGCTAGATATACGACTGTTGTTACAACATATGTCGCTAGAACTTGGCCGACATCCCTGGGTATAGAGTCCTTGCAAACACGTGACCTAAATCACGTGATACCTACGCCCGCCGCCACAGTGGTGTACATCAGACGTAAACACAATCAGCTGTTCGCCAGCGCTGGACGTGTTCACCAGCGCTGGACGTGTTCACTATATGTAAAGAATCGCGCCGCGGGAAAGGAAAAATATGTTAAAAAACTTGAACTCTTAGGAATTGAAGATCCTTATACTGTTATTGACAGTTTCGTGGATAATATAAATATGTGGACAAAATTTCTAAATAAAAGTACTGTTAGTAATACCGTTTGCGTTTAGAGTTTAAGTAGACGAAGCTGATCAATTGCAGTAATATATTATAGGTTATCTACTGTAGCAAACGTGAGACCACTTAACTCCTACAAAACCCACACTACAACGGCTAATATAATCCGTGGGTAATAACCAATCTGGGTAGCATGTTATACAATTTAAGACCCTTATAATCCAGCAGGAAAGTAATCAGACACATTAATACTGACGTTCAACCCTCATGATGGCTGCCCCCACCTGTATCTAGCCCACAATAAAGCCAAAGAGGAGTCTGCCCTGCCCTCCCCTGAAAATGTCTCACCTCCGTGATACCCAGCCCCACAGAGATAGTATTTCTTATATAATTTTGACCCTCAGGGCCCAGCAGGGAGAACAAAGGGGAAAGTCCCACTGCTCTCCCCTCAACACTTCTCACCTCGATGTCATGTTATGTCATTTATAGCACACATGGCTTATCAGGGGAAAGCATTAAGGCATTAAGAATCTTAACTCTGGACAGCTACACACTAGTATACTAGCTACACACTAGGTGCCTACAGTAAACTACTAGACTGTAGGCCCTATGTAGACCTGCAATTGTATCAATTGTAGACTGGGTCCATTGTTATTATTCTAAACCATCTCACTTATAATGTTTCTAGCTTGATTTGTTTCTTTTATAAACAGTGGATTTAAAAAAAATTAGCCTAATCATTAACCAAATAATAATAATGTGGTTATTTGTTGTTGGCTGGTATGATCTAGATTGTACTACTAGGCTACAAAAACTTAGTAGACCAATTAGGGGCCTACTAGATATGAATTTGAATTTAATTAAACTCAGTCCAGTATCAGATACATATTGCTGTAAAAAGACAACAAAGTAGGTAGGCCTTAGTAATTTATTAAAGCCTTCTACTACAATAATATCAACTACATGCTTGTATAATGTTTTTACAATTTAATTTAAGTAGCAGATTCTAGATCTAAGTCTAGTCATACAATCTATTTCAATTTCAGAAAATTTCGTTTGCTAAAAAAATGATTAGATAATAGAGCGAGATTTTAGATCTTAGAGACAATTAAATGCTTTATTATGCCTATTATGACTACTTTTGATTTATTATGGGTGTATTTTGAATCGAATGTAGATCTAAAGTAATTAAATTTAAGTAAAGAAGTAGATTCTAGATTCTATGTCTACCCAGCGGAGCCAGGTATTAGGCCTACTATTAGATCTTATTATTCTTATTATTACTTTTGACTTTGTCTTTTACTATTAGTATTTGTGAAGGTCGAGCATATTTGTTTTATTAATAGTTATCTTTTATAATTAAAATGAAGTTTATTATTTTACTGTCCTTACCTGAAACAAAGTATCGAGAACTGCATTTGATCAGATTCGTCTACTTTAACTCTAAACGCAAACAGTATTACTAACAGTATTTTTATTTAGAAATTTTGTCCACATATTTATATTATCTACGAAACTGTCAATAACAGTATAAGGATCTTCAATTCCTAAGAGTTCAAGTTTTTTAACATATTTTTCCTTTCCCGCGGCGCGTTTCTTTACATATAGTGAACGCGTCCAGCGCTGGTGAACACGTCCAGCGCTGGCGAACAGCTGATTGTGTTTACGTCTGATGTACACCACTGTGGCGGCGGGCGTAGGTATCACGAACGGACGTGACGTCATATGAAAGGACTCTATAAAAGACCCTCAAGAAGAAAGTCTCACCCAATAAACTCACAGCGGACTACTTACAAGGTATGGGACTTGTGTGCTCGTTGTGTTTATGATGACGTGTGTGTGATACCCTACAACGTTGAAACCAGTCCGCTGGTTCTTTTAAAATTATTTTTGTGAAATGAGCTCATGTTTATAAGTAATTGCATATCGTAGGGTCACTCTAGCAATTTTTGAAATGAGTAAATTAAGTCAGTTTTATGCAGGTAACATCGACCTTTGAGACTAAACTAATCAAGTTTTTAAAAATGTGAAAGTTCTTAGACTCCAGGTCGCCAGATTCTATGTGATATCACGTGACTAGAACAATCCAGAGGTGCTGAACCCTTCAAAGAAAGTGTCACATTGGGATAATTCACTAGTAGGATAAATTACTGGTGGGATAATTCACTAGTATTATACATCCAGGTGGGATAATTCACGGCTTGAAAACCCAGTTCTAGTGATGGACTCTAGAAATATTCACTGACTGAATATGTAGATGGTGTTTGGACTTTCACTGACTGAATATGTAGATGATGTTTTGGACCTTTCACTGACTGAATATGTAGATGGTGTTTGGACTTTCACTGACTGAATATGTAGATGGTGTTTGGACTTTCACTGACTGAATATGTAGATGGTGTTTGGGCCTTTCTTACCCGGATACCTGAATGCCGAGATCGAGTTTCCGTGCAGTAGATTTACAGCTTGATTCCGCTGCTCAAGGCTCCTAAAGGTGGCGCTAAATTTACGACCGTGTGTTTTCGTGTTATGGAGTATGTATAGACAGCGACTAGATCAGTGGTTCTAAACTTTTGTTGAAGGTACCGAGCCCCACCACTTTCATAAAGAATTCACTGAACCCTTATAATAGTTCAACTATCCACATTGACAAGATCCGATCACTAATCTAATGAGTCGGGTGTGTCTAGACCTCCGCCGAACCCCTGAGATTGACTAACCGAACCCCTGGGGTTTTTTTACCCAGGTTAAGAACAACTGGTCTAGATAGCTTGTTGTCGGTATGTGTAGGTAGTTTCTAGATCAGATGCAAAGTAGAAGGGGGGTGTGGGCGAGGGAGGGGGAGGGGGGTGAGGAGGTGGCCACCCGGGACAAAAATAAAAGCTCATTTCAAGCAGTTTTATTGCCAGTAAAAGTTGAGAAAAAAAAACGACCACTAGGCTAAAAGACATATTTAACTGTTTTCTTCCTTGATTGTGTTATGGTAAAGTAAAATTGGGAGATAGTGTTTAAACCCCTGATGTCAGTTTGTGAACGCAGTGTTTAAACCATTGATGTCAGTTTGTGAACACAGTGTTTAAACCCCTGATGTCAGTTTGTGAACACAGTGTTTAAACCACTGATGATGTTTGTGAACACAGTGTTTAAACCCCTGATGTCAGGCTAGTTCTGAGACGTGGAGAGTTTGACAAACTAATGACAAAAACATCACAGGGTTGATGTAGAGAGGCCGTTGTTTGTACGCTGGCAGATGCCTAGAGTGTGCATGACAGATTACAGGGTTGATGTAGAGAGGCCGTTGTTTGTACGCTGGCAGATGCCTAGAGTTGGCATGACAGATTACAGGGTTGATGTAGAGAGGCCGTTGTTTGTACGCTGGCAGATGCCTAGAGTTGGCATGACAGATTACATTCCATTACAAATTTTTTTAATTGCGCTGCGTCATTGACTCTAAGTAGGATTTTAGAACTTACTTTAACTAGCTCCATCTTGATTGTACCTTATATGGTATACCATAGAATAGAAAAATATACTGCCCTGTACTATACTATATTCTAGTTACGTGACTATTTTGCTGCCCTCTCCTCTATACAGATGGCGCCAACAAGTTACCTGGTTCTGCTCATCAACGTGGCTCTCTGTCATGGCGGCTCCTTGCCCAAACTAGGTGCGTTTTTTTTTTAAACGAATTCATTTGAAGCTATGTAAGATAAGATATTCATTGTAACTATGTAACAGACTAATTTTAAAAAAAAACACCATAAATTTATACAATGTATCAAATTAATTTGAAACCATGTCGACTTTCTGCTGAAGAGAAAAATTTAAGAAACGACAGAAGGTAGTGTTGCATAGGCCATGAACTACATTGTTAACTGACTTTGTGCACATAGTCTGTAACAAATACAGAACGTTATACACCACTTCAATAGACCATCCCAATATAATGCGACCAGAGGAGTAGCGACCCTTCCCGGCGCCCGGGACAAACTTTCGATTGGCACCCCCCCCCCCTCGAACTTTTCATTTGCACCCCCCCCCCCCTCAAACTTTCGATTTGCACCCCCCCCCCTTGAACTTTTCATTTGCACCCCCCTCAAACTTTCAATTTGGCGCCCCCCCCCCCCTAAGTCGGCGCCCGGGGACATATGTCCCCCCCGCCCCCCCCCCCCCTCTCTACCCCTCTGAATGCGACCTACACCACAGAACCTTATACACCTCTTCAATAGACCATCCTAATATAATGTTTATTTTATAAACCGTTTCCGTCAGTCTTCAAACGGTCACCTCTATTGTTTGAATAAGACACGACTTTGTGTGACGGAAAACAATCGCCTGGTATCATGTTGAAAGAATGTGTTCTAAAGTGGGAGGATGATGAAAAAATGACATGAGGGGAACACAAGACAGTTCCCTGTCACAAGTAGCCAAGATAACTAAATGATGAGCCACCAATAATATCTGAGGGTTATTTAATAAATGCACTATCACGTGCAAGGCAGAAACTGTTATTTAACTCCATAAATAAACTGCAAATCAAAGTTTCGACAAAAAAGGATTTTTTTTTTATCGTCGATAAATAGATATAAAAAAAAAATTAAAAAAATAAAAATGAACCGGGAGTGATCTCCCCTAAACTTTCTCGAATATTCTTAAATAACACTACGGGGGATGGCAATTCGGGATATAGACATGATTTTAATCAATTTTTAATTACTTAAACTTTTAAAAATAGAATAGAATCTCGTAGAAAAAGAATAGCGCACCAGGTAAACGCCAAACAATATGTGTATAGTAGTGCGGAATATTTACTTTGTAAATTCATATGCGATTTTTGATAAATCGGAAATAGCCTAAATTACTACTTCCGAACAAAGGAAGTTACTCAAAGTTTGAAAGAAGGCAGCGAATTAGATATTTGACATTTCGATTATCAATACTTACATATGAATTTTCATCAATCTAGCTGTTACGGTACTCAAGTTATTGTGTTTACAGACATACATACATACATACTCACTTACACACACACACACGGACAGAATTGCAAAGTGCAGTTTTCCGACTCGATTACGCGTAAAACGTCGAAATTTTGATAAATCTGGATTTAGAACTTTTGCCCCATTAAAATAAGTCCCTCTACTCCGTATTTAATGAAGTACTGAGGTGTAAAACGGTGAAAATTGGCTAAATTTCATGTGATTTTTGTGCACGATTACAATACTTCCTTTATTGGGCTTGTAAGTTGTTAAAGTAGCTTACCAAGTTCTCGCTCCGGTAGTTGCCAGCTGGTGTTTTTTTTTTTTTTCAAACCAAATGTGAATATTTTTTTTTTTTTTTTTTTTTAAAGTTATGAAATCTACTTTCGTTTTTGGAATTAAAAAAACTCCGACAATAAGTTGTTTTAAGTAAATTAAGTTTAAAAAAACACACACACACAAATATATTATATTTTATATAGATCTAGATAGATCTAGAATACAACCTGTATAATAATAATACATCTATAATCTATATAAAATATGATATTATTTATAGGCCTAAAAGATTTCAATCGTAAATCTGAAATCAAGCCTAATTTAATTAATAAATATATATAGCCTAGATCTAGAGTCTAGATTTCTAGATCTAGAATTCTATATCTAGATCTAGATCTATGACTTAAAAAAAAAACCCTCTTGAAAATTCCGACTTAGACAGTAACATACGACATACAGGATGTATTTTTAATTTTAGTCTAGAGATCTCGATTCTAGATCTAGTTTCTTTTATTTTACAGTGTAGTTGAGTGGAATTAATTACTAAATTACTAAATAGGCTATTTACTTTAAGACAGGTAGACTAGAATATGTTCAATATCAATTTATATATAGAATCTAGATTATTCTAGATCTAGCGAAGTTTAGTGTAGTCTTGTTGTAGAACTTAAGAACTAAATCTAGAGTGTAGGCAACTGTAGTAATTTAGATCTAGAATCTAGTACTGTGTGACGTCATTTTAGGGGGTGGGGGTCTGGCTTTTTGTGACGATGTGTAGGGGAAGGGGGGGGGGAGGTAAAAATCGTCAAAAAATGCGTGACGTCATTTATAGATGACCCCCATGGAGAAGATCCACACAGAAACAGTTTAAGGAAATGGGCCTAACATTCAAACAGGTAGAGGTACCAACATGATTTTAGAGATTATGTAGATATACATATATATATATATATATAGGGGGAGGCGGGGTAGAGAGAGAGAGGGTTCATCTGTAAATTGCATCACACATTTTATGATGATTTTTACCTCCCCCTCATAAAGGAGGGCAGTAAAAAGAAGAATGTATGATAGCTAGGTAATCCTAATTTATATAATCAGATTATTGTGGTAAATAAAAGTCAACATATCTAGCCTAACAAAATGCCATGAATTTAAAATATATATTATGACTTAGAGAAAGTTTGGTGAAATGGAAATATCTGCAAATTTGATTTATTGATGATGTGTAACTTGTTTATATTATTCCTTTGGAGCTGATATTAATAAAAAGTTAATGAAATTATAGAGTTTTATCCAATTGATGTTTCTAAAGCCTTGCATGAACTTAATTTAAATATATTTAGCTGCCCAGGCAAAGAACCCAATGAATTTTCCAGAATTGGCTTGTCGTTTGACCGATGGTAACAAAGAGAATCACCCAGGATCTTCGCTGATAAGAAAATCTGAAGACATACCTTATTCTTCTATATCTAAATGTGATTTGTCTAATGAAAATATTTATTCAGTGACAATTGCTAAAGATATTTTACCATTATTTCAAACATCATCTTCTGAAATGTTGTTTTCTATCTCTAAACCTTCCACAATTTCTTCAAGTTTCAAGAGATATTTTAACATCATTGCCTACTTCCCACAGTTCTTATGTTCAAAATTTGCAATTTTCTGAGAAACAAAGTAATAATAAATTTGTACCCAGTGTTTTAGTTTCAGCTCCATTAAAATTTAATAAACCAATCAATTTAAAAATTAAATGTTTCTTATCCCATATGAAAGTAGTCTGTTTTATTTAAGAAAAATCACCTTTAAAAAAATTTAATGTTTGAATGTCAATAAATTGTTGACATGGACTGGTTTGCGGGTAAGCTTTTATACTTAGTGTACAATAAAGATTCAGTTTTGATGTCAATATAGTTGCTTCTGAAAGAATTAAACTATAAACAATAGCATTTATATTAATATCTCAATGGCAGTTCAGTATACTTTCATCATTGTTTTCAAATAACAAAACAGAACTACAGTTTTAAAATTGAAAAAGAAAATGAAAAGAATTTCATAAATGGATGGTTTTTTAATTACTTAAAACAGAAGATGCATCAATACAGCATTACAATGTATATGATTAATATTTCTTTTCATGGACAATCATAAATTTAAATTATTCATTAAAAGTTAAATTCAGCTTCCTTGTGTCTAAAAATCCACATCCATGCTGTTCCATTTACCTAGAAATTAAATAAATAATATTTTTAACAACTTTCTGTAATATGAAAAAATTAATCATTGATTAAAACAGACAGCCAATATAGCAGTTGAATTAAAATTCACATGTTTCTGTGACATTTGCATGTAAAATTAGAGTGTTCAGAGGTATATACCCAGCCACCTTTAATTTCCCTATCTTGAGCCAGGTACTCATGAGAGCTGGTACTCATGAGACTTAGGACATCATACCAGGACTAAAACCAGGGATCTGAACTCTTATCTTTTAGGATAGAAATGTGAAAGCTACTGTCTGACAGTCCCACTATCAAGCCATACATATTAATACTTACAGTATATAATCTTAGTAGCAACATATTCTTTAAGAATTAGAACACTGAATCGATTTCAAACTTGGGCTTAAGCTGAAAAATGGCTTATTATAAAAAAAAAATTCAGCTCACCTTTAGTTCAAGATCAGCACCAATAGCCACAGTAAAGTGTGAGAAAATTGCTTGCCAAGTACCTAGGGAATTTAAATATAATAAATTATTAAGTTTATCCATATATTATATTAAAATAATTATTTAACTAATATGAGATATTAATATATATATATATATATATATATATATATATATATATATATATATATATATATATATATATATATATATATATATATTTATAAAAGGTTTAATTTATTGTAAAGGTTCAGTTTTCTATCTACTTAGCTTGTCTTAAAAACTAAAATATCTGGTTTACAGTTAACCATATCTTAACTATTACAAAACTATTAGTTTCATTTTCATTACTTGTAACTAAAAATTGTAGTCAATAGATCTAAAACTTAATTCTATTAACAGCTAACTGTAACCATACTGACTCTGACCAATTTATTAATTTTTGTACCCTGTAATTCATTAATAATTAGGCTTATACTAAAAGGCCGAAAGTTATCAATTGTAGATTTTATAGTCCCTGGTCTAGACTAACAAGACTAGCCTACAAGTCTAATAGTACTAATACACATGATCTAGTTTATAAGTTTACTACTAGGCAACTTGCTAGAAGACTAGTACTTAACCAAACTTTAACTTGCTAAAAATAAAAGGGCCTAATACAATAGTAGATGGCCTAGTAATACTTTTTTTTTACTGTGCTACTTACACTGCTTTTGGTACTATTACTATAATACTATGACTAACTAACTACTAACTAAACTAGCTTGATGGAGATCTATCATCTTGCTCTTCTAGTAGTCTACACTACTTACTACTTAGAAAAGTAGTAGCACTACTGTAACAATTTCAAACTAAATTTAATCTATATATTACTAGATCTAGATCTACTCATTGCAACACTGTAGTCTGATAAGTCTGTAAGCCCTAAATGTATCTAGACCTAGATTCTAGTCTAATTTAGTTTCAGTCTAGTTATTAGTACCTACACTCTACAATAGTCTACAGTACTCTACACTATGCTACACTCTACTACTACTCTAATCACTCTACTGGCTACTGATCTAGATCTAGTAAATAGCTAGAGTAGATCTAGTCTAGATTCTAGATATAAAAAAATTGATTTAAAATTAAAAACAGGTTAGCCTTACTAGGCATTACTAGCTCTTACTAAACTTAACTCAATAACTAGGGTAGGTTTTACCTAAACTAGATCTAATCTAGATCTAGAATCTATCTAGATCTACTACATTCTCTAGATCTAGATTTTAGATCTAGGGCCTACCATACTACCATCTGCAACTAGAATCTAGATCTAGATCTATTCTACTATCTCTATCTAGATCTAGTAATACTATCTATCTAGCCAACTACAAGCTACTTCTAATAACTAATCTAATAGCCTACTAATAGGCCTACTTCTAAAATATTAAACAGTAATCACTGAGTAATCAGTACTAGAGTCTAGTTCAGTAATCTAGCTAGATCTAGATCTAGGTCTATTAACATTAACTCATTAACATTGTTGTCTAAGTTCTAGATATCTAGATCTAATATCTAGATCTAGAATCTAGATTCGATTAATAAGTAAGTCGTAGGCTGAGTGAGACTGGAAGTCATCCTCATTTTCCTGTTGTTTTAGTTACCGTCATCCTTTTCTTAATATTTTTAATATTTTATCTAGATCACTAAAATACTAGATCTAGAATCTAGTTCTAATATATTCTAATTCATGAACTTATACTCTTAGAACTAGATTAAAGCAATGTAGATCTTAGTTGGTAGATTCTAGAATCTAGATCTAGATCTAGGTCTAGGTCTGGGAATCTTAAGTCTAGATCTAGATCTAGATCTAGATCTAGTAGCAAAGACTGAGTTGAGTCAGAGTAATGTCCCCCCTAGCCTTGGACAAACTATCAACAAAAGAAATAAAATCAATATACTTACCGCCACAAAACTTTTATATTCAAAAATGCATACACATGTGTTTGTTCCCATTCATATGAACAAAACAGCGTTGAAAGTTTTTACAGTTATTGCATTTCTGGAACGTTTGATGATTTTGAAATCTTGAAGCGGGACCTACTAACAAATAGCCGCCATGTTTTTTGTTATCAATGGGAAACCCCGTTCACAACAATTGATTTAGTTCGAAAACTTTTATCTCTCCCTGGCTAACCAGACACGAATTAACGCGAGAAAGAACGATAAACTTACAAGTTCTATACTCTGTGTACGAAAAAGTAAAAAAGAAATATACTAGCTAGATGTAGATCTAAACTGAATCGCACTTCTAATGAACGCGTTGATTGTAAATTTCAAACCTAATATAGCTCTTGTTTTTGTTTTTTTTTTATCATATTTTACAGTCATAAGTTTTTAAAATAATTTATTCTCGTATATTCTATCAGATTATTTGAAATTAGATTAACTGCTGTTTCCATAGGAACTAGGAGTGGGTAAACATTTTTACGAGTTTTCTATTCCGTCCGCACTTTATATATGAATAAATCTTAGATCTAATCTACATGCATCAGCTGTTCGGCAACGATTTGTTGCCGCTTTGCCCTAATGTAAAACACGCTCGTCATTTTCTTGACTTTTTTCTTGCGGGGCACGCGTCTACTAAACCACACACCTTGTAGAATGCCCGGCCTGGGAACTACGTGGTATTTTGTACTTAGACGCTGGCGTATGACCTGTGCCTTTCAGGGTTACTTACAGACATTTCGCTCAGTAGAAATGTTTTTATGAGCAACTCCGAGTCCTCTGGCAGACGACCCGTGGCTTAGCTAGACAAATTATTTCAATTTTCTTGGCGATTGGTATTGAGAATCTAGTGAAATGTTATCTGCCACTAAGGACTTGATACTTTTCTCTCTATGGAACTTGGAACTTTGTTTTCCTAAGAGCTCGATTAGTTTGGGTTGTACATTGCTTTAGGGTATGTGTATATCCGTACCTATTTTAGCTTACCCAGTGTTGACTAGTATATTTACTGTGTTGGTCTCCCCTGGTGCGTCGGAAACTTCCCTGTTCAGCTTATGGAAAGTTTTCCGAGAGCTCGGAACATTTTACTGTGGTGTGTAGGCTTGGTAATCGAATTCTCACATTTTCACGGAGTCTTGTTTACATCTGAAGAAAATTAGTCCCTTTCAATAAAAAAAAAGGAATTTCTCCAGGTCCTTTTCAGGGCCACCAATTATTTCACCTCGAAACGGTTTGGTTCTTTGTGGGTTTTTTTTTTTGCATCTTATCCTAAAATAGACGCTACAAAAGCTAAATTTGCTATTTTTTATAATTCAATAAATAAACAAAATTAACTTTGTAACACAGAATGTTTTTACACTTATTTTTATTCCTAAATAAAATTCAAATCAGAACAAAAAGGTAAAAGGATTTCAGAGTAACTTTTCTTCAGAAAGTTAATTAAAAGTCTAGTGACAATTTAAGCGCAATTTCCTTAATTAATTTTTTGTGACCGAACGAAAGGATATTTTTGAAAACTTTCTTCGGCAATATTGTTCTAAATTATGGCAGGAATCGATTGGTAAATGTTTCAAGTCGCTAAGTGGTCTGGTTGACGAGATATGGGCCAAAAACAGCATTTTTTTCGAGGTTTTTTGGCTTTTCCGGTAAAATCCAGGAAGGAATTCCGGGAATTTTTTTGGCCCACAATCATCCTCGGAACTTGCTTAACATATTTGCTTTGGAACTAGTCCTCGATATTGCTTCGTTGAGGAGGAGATACGACTTAAAGCTGCGAACACACATCCAGAAATGACGAGTTAATAATCGCAATTGTCGGTATAGAAATTGCGCTAAAAAAACGTATTTTCCTCCTATTTAAAAAATATGTTTAAGATAGTGTAGGGTGATCAACTTACAATTGAAAAATAAATATCAAATCCTTTAAAATGTTTTTTTTTTGTACACGATTATAATACTTCCTCTATACTCTGTATACGAGAAAGTTATAAACTGAGAGTGATCTCCCCTAAACTGTCTCGAATATTCTTATATAACACTACGGGGGATGGCAACTCGGGTCGATATAAACATGATTTTTAATCCAGTGTTAATTATTTTAAAAATTTAAAATAGAATAGAATCTCGTAGAAAAAAAGAATTGGGCACCAAGTGAATGACTAACAATATAATAGTGCGGACTATTATTAGTATTTAGTAAATTCATATGCGGTTTTTGAGAAATCGGAAATAGCGTAATTACTACTTCCGATCAACGGAAATTAATCAAAATTTGAAAGAAGGCACAGATTTATATCTTTGAATATTCGTTTATCTATCTAAAACAGTACTAAAGTTATAGGCTTTTGAAAAACCTAATTGTATAATAGGTCACATTTCCGGTTACCGGAAATATCTGAAAAGTTGATACAAAACTACAAATTTGATATAATACTTTTATATGAAATCTCATCAATCTAGCTGTTATGGTACTCAAGCTATCGTGTTTACAGACATAATTACACACACACACACACACACACACAAAGTCCAGTTTTTCCGACTCGACTACGCGTAAAAGGCCGAATTTTTGATAAATCTGGATTAAGAATTTTTACCCGATTAAAATAAATCCCCTATAATCCGTATATGAGGTGTAAAACGGTGAAAACTTTCAACATTTCATATAATTTTTGTGCACGATTACAATACTTCCTTTATACTCTATATACGAGAAAGTAAAAATCTGTAAGAATTGAAAACAATGTCGAAAGCCACCAATGAAAACAAATACAGTAAAAGTAGACATAGCCAACCAACGTTTATGGTCGATGTTAAAAGTAAACAGAAAAGTAGTCTCAGAGGAAAATATTCTTTTCAAGTCCTACAGCTTACATTTGCAAATAGTTATATAACAAATATTTTTTTTTATTTCTGGACTTTTAAAACTTTAGTTTTAATATTTTGTAAAATTGAAAAAAAAGAATTGTTCACACACCAAAATACTCTACATATTTCTTCCATAAATAAAATGTCTGATAGAAAGGCTTAGTTGCATTTCGCAAACCCGAGCATCTATTTTCGTGTTTCTATCTGTCAGTGTCTCTAAAGATCGCCACAAAATTCCCTTATCCATTGTTCTGTCCCCAGTTTACACCGGCGATCACTGCTCTAAAACCTACCTTGTACAGGACGCTGTCGTATTCAAAAACTCGTTTTTTGCTGACACCAACTGCACCATCACCATCAAGCCGAAGAGAGGCAACATAACTGTGGCAAGTTTCTACACATACAAGCAAAGCAACGCTGGCACTGTTATAGCCAGCATCATACAAAACGGTCGCTGTCAGGAGTATCTCAAGTTGACCAATACGGATGAGAATGATCAACTGCTGGGTGAGTCTCTCTGTCTCACCATTCTTGTTGAAACGTAACTTTATTTTCGACAAGCGTGCCCGGCGCTCGTTGCCGCGATCTAGTCCTACGGGGTCGGGCGTGTTGCGCCATCGTGTCACGTTGGTCAGGTATATGTGACGTCATTTCCGGACTAGCTCAAACGATGCACGATATCGTCATGTAATAGAAGCCCCAGTTCCAGAATATTTTATTTAAATGTCTTTGTATTCCGCAGGTTCCAATGGCTATTGTGCCACGGAAAAACCCACGAAACAATACAAGCTGGGGTCGACGGGAGTGTTCCAGTACCACAGAGATTCCAGTTGGTCGGCTCGCTACTTAAGCTATGATCTACTGGTCTCGGAAGTTTTTCTAAAACAAAACTCCGCTGACAGTGAGTACTTACACGGGTGGTTAGAATAGTTCCAGTAGACAACGTGAGCACATGTGCCCTAAGTCACTCTATCAAAGTTTAAATGTGTAGGCCCGTACAGGTGTGTTAAATGAAGAAAATAATGTTTGACTCCTTTAGGAAACAACATAATCATTTCAATTTATTTACAGTTTAATAATTATCATTAGTGAAGACAAATTAAATCCAATTATGTAATTAACTTCCAGTAACATGAAATACCAGAGACGTCACAGGGGTGGGGCGGACCGCAGCAGGGGACATTGTTTAGTGGGGGGGGGGGGGGGGGACAACAACAAGGCAAATAACTACAAAATATATAGAAGAATAAACCGGGAGTGATCTCCCCTAAACTTTCTCGAATATTTTTATATAAAATAACAGAGGAAGGGAACTCGGGCTATAGACATGATTTTTAATCCATTTTAAATACTTAAAGTTTTAAAAATAGAATAAAATCTCGTAGACAAATTAATTGCACACCAAGTGAACGCGAAATAAAAAAGCGCATAATAGTGCGCAATATTATTAGTACTTTTAAAATTTACATTAGTTTTTTGAGAAATCGGGAGTAGCGTAAATTACTACTTCCGGTCAACGGAAATTACTCAAAATTTAACAGAAGGTAGAGAATTAGATCTTTTACTTACATGTGAAATTTCATTTATCTATCTGAAATAGTACTCAAGTTATAGGCTTTTGAAAAATTCAAAGTAGAAAAAGTACCACTTCCGATTATCGGAAATCGCTCAAAAGTTGATACGGATCTACGATTTTGATAAAATACTTATATATGAAATTTCATCAACCTAGCAGTAACGGTACTCAAGTTATTGTGTTTACACACGGACACACAGTCACACACACACACACACACACAGACATACGGACAAGATTGCAAAATTATGTTTTTCCGTATCAGTGAGGTGTAAAACGTCGAGATTTGTAAAAATCTCGATTTTTTTTTTTGCACGATTACAATACTTTCTCTATACTACGTATATACGAGAAAGTAAAAAAATGCTCTTTCGAGGTCAATTAATGACTAAAATTAGAGTAAAATATGCATGTCAGCACAAAGTGACAAAACCCGATCGGGTGTTTGGGGATCGATACAAACACCATACAGAACAACATTAAAACTTTTGATTACAAGCTTTAATATAATAATGGACTAAAAGGAGAAAATAAAGGATTTTCTTGAAATATAAAATAATGCACTATGTAATTCAAGTATAACACCTTGTAATTATATATGAAATGTAGTCTAACTAGATAGTACTAAATATAGTATCATTTCCGGTTACCGATAATCGTAGAAAAGTGTGGGATAAAAACACGCACATACAATTTTCTAATTATATGTAAAATCTTGACCACCTTAAACACTACTCAAATTATTGGCTGTTGGAAGTAAAGTAAGTACCGGAAATCCCTCAAAAAAGTATACAGAACTACAAATCTGATATAATACTTATATATGAAATGTGGGCTACATAACTGAAACGGTACCTAAGTTGTCGTGTTCACAAACAGACAGACACACAAACATACAGAAAACATTGCAAAAATAGGTTTTCCAACTCAGGGAGGGGTAAAACAATACAATACTTCTATAAATTTAGTATACGAGAAAGTAGAAATATTTCTATGGCACGATTGCGCTGGAAATAGCATCCTCCTTTCTGTTATATAATAATATACGAAAAAGCTCATGAGAGATCACTCTCACATTATTTTTTAAAAGGATAGATTCAAGTTTTAAAAGAGGATTGCGAACCAAAATGAACGCAAGCAATGTGTTAATAATAAAGCGGAATAATACAAACATACATATATATATATATATATATATATATATATATATATATATATATATATATATATATATATATATATATATATATATATATATATATATATATATATATTGGGGAGGAGGGGAGTTAGACACCCGGCCTAGAGGCGCCACTGTGATATACCTATTAGTCTGACAAATGCCATAACACTATGAAAACACCTAAATGGGTGTGCAAGATTCTTTTAAAATTTTAAATATCCGTTTCTTTTTGAAACGCCCTCAAATAGCTGCCCATGAATAACCACTTTTCTAAGGAGAATTGGTTCAGATAGTGCCTCGTAATACTAGTTCATTTAAACAAGCCGTTGAAAGTATCTTATCTATTTGATGTTTTTAACCATTTTGCTGATTGTATTTTTAACAGTCCCATAAATGTTTGATGTCTAGACTGTACGGCTAATGTTTGATCTGATGTCTAGACTGTACGGCTAATGTTTGATCTGATGTCTAGACTGTACGGCTAATGTTTGATTTGATGTCTAGACTGTACGGTTAATGTTTGATGTCTAGACTGTACGGCTAATGTTTGATCTGATGTCTAGACTGTACGGCTAATGTTTGATGTCTAGACTGTACGGCTAATGTTTGATCTGATGTCTAGACTGTACGGCTAATGTTTGATCTGATGTCTAGACTGTACGGCTAATGTTTGATCTGACGTCTAGACTGTACGGCTAATGTTTGATCTGACGTCTAGACTGTACGGCTAATGTTTGATCTGACGTCTAGACTGTACGGCTAATGTTTGATGTCTAGACTGTACGGCTAATGTTTGATCTGACGTCTAGACTGTACGGCTAATGTTTGATCTGACGTCTAGACTGTACGGCTAATGTTTGATGTCTAGACTATCAGGCTAATGTTTGATCTGATGTCTAGACTGTACGGCTAATGTTTGATCTGACGTCTAGACTGTACGGCTAATGTTTGATGTCTAGACTGTACGGCTAATGTTTGATCTGATGTCTAGACTGTACGGCTAATGTTTGATGTCTAGACTGTACGGCTAATGTTTGATGTCTAGACTGTACGGCTAATGTTTGATCTGATGTCTAGACTGTACGGCTAATGTTTGATGTCTAGACTGTACGGCTAATGTTTGATGTCTAGACTGTACTGCTAATGTTTGATTTGATGTCTAGACTGTACGGCTGGAACTTTCGACTGTCAGTCCCAGAAATATTGTGTCAGTGACGAGGTCAAGTGTAACATCTATGACGACTGTGGCAATAGGGAGGATGAAACGGTGGGCTGTACAGGTAGTTTCATAGGTAAGTGTTGGGCTGTACAGGTAGCTTCATAGGTAAGTGTTGGGTTGTACAGGTAGCTTCATAGGTAAGTGTTGGGTTGTACAGGTAGCTTCATAGGTAAGTGCGGGGCTGTACAGGTAGCTTCATAGGTAAGTGTTGGGCTGTACAGGTAGCTTCATAGGTAAGTGTTGGGCTGTACAGGTAGCTTCATAGGTAAGTGTTGGGTTGTACTACTGTATCTGACATAATAGAGTGGCTTTAACTTTAACTCAAGCACCATTAAACATACTTTTCAACGATTCATTAAAATTACGACGGTAAACATTGCACGAAATTGGAAGGCGTGTTTTGTTGATGAACTAAACTTATACTTTGTTTGGTGAAACAACCGACTGACCTGCTGTTGACCTGTCCGTTTGATCTATTGCAGGCTACAGCCCTGTACTGATGCTGTTCCTGGCTGTTCGCTGCCTGCGGTCTGTTACGTTGTAACCCAATCATCGAACAGCTGACTTGATGTTTACTTCTCGCTTTATGTAATCAATAATCAATAACCAACGATAAAGGTATCAATGTTTAGTGCGAATGGTGGATAATTTCTTTCAAATCTAGATGAAAACTGGCCAGATCAAGTGTGGCTCCCCTGACGGACTAAATGGTCAGTCAGTCAGATGTGATCCTTTCTCAGCATGTGGAGCAACAGGATTGGACGGGTGATGGACAGGTGACCGCTAGATTGCCAACCTGCTACAGACAGTGGACACTTTTGTTAGTGGTCAACTGGTTGTCAGTTGGTGGTCAACTGGTTGTCAGTTGGTGGTCAGCTGACTGGCAATGTTCCACTAGCTGTCAGTCAGTGGTCAACTAGCTGTCAGTCAGTGGTCAACTAGCTGTCAGTCAGTGGTCAACTAGCTGTCAATCAGTGGTCAACTAGCTGGCAGTCAGTGGTCAACTAGCTGTCAGTCAGTGGTCAACTAGCTGGCAGTCAGTGGTCAACTAGCTGTCAGTCAGTGGTCAACTAGCTGTCAGTCAGTGGTCATGTAGGAGATGACGTGAGATAGGGCTTGATGTCATGTAGAACATGTGACGATGACAGCACTGATGGGTTCACGTCTAGTTTCAACTTGTAATCACACCCTGAGAGAGAAGGTTCCAGAAAGTTGCCTTACAATGTTCTGTTTGATTCGACTGATATTCACTTCTGTACAATGTTCTGTTTGATTCGACTGGTAATTCACTTCTGTACAATGAAAACTATTTTTTAGCCTTTCTATTTCAGCAAATAAAATAAGTTACAACCGTTTTGTCTTTTTCTTCCTGTGTAAATCTGCTAGAGCTACCGGCTACTTTTGTTGTATTGCTAGCTGTTTTACAGGCTACCTTAGAATATCGCTAGTCAGTACATCAGGCTACCTATTCCTTGTTGTAATTAAAATGTTCATGTTTGAACAAACCAGCTATAGCAAGCAATCAAAAAGACAGCACGATGATCAGCCTTCAACTGATAGAAAAACGTCGAGGCCTCTAACTCCTGGTGTGTCCCATCTATCTTTGTGGTGGCCAATCTATCTTTGTGGTGGCCAATCTAACTTTGTGGTGGCCAATCTATCTTTGTGGTGGCCAATCTAACTTTGTGGTGGCCAATCTATCTGTGTGGTGGCCAATCTATCTTTGTGGTGGCCAATCTATCTTTGTGGTGGCCAATCTAACTTTGTGGTGGCCAATCTAACTTTGTGGTGGCCAATCTAACTTTTTGGTGGCCAATCTAACTTAGTGGTAGCCAATCTAACTGTGTGGTGGCCAATCTAACTGTGTGGTGGCCAATCTAACTTTATGGTGGCCAATCTAACTGTGTGGTGGCCAATCTAACTGTGTGGTGGCCAATCTAACTTTGATAACAGCACATCTACCAGAGTTTTTTTTTTTTTATAATTTAAAACCTACGAGCCGACCCGCGGCGAATTATACGCCGCTATTTAGTTTTATTTTCTACTTTTCAGTAATTCATTATTTGAATGCTGCCACTGAAAATATTTGCTTTAAAACACTAAAACCCCCCTCCACCCCGCGAAAGCAGCCTCCTCTTAGTTACCTTCCTAAGTTTAAAGTAGTTTCAAACTAAATTATATGCCCCTAATAGCCGTCACTAAACCCGTCTCTACAATTGTAAACATTTTGCGTGAACCACAGCTCACCAGACCATGTGGGGGTGGGGGTGGTAGTGATATGCCTAGAGAGGAAGAGAGGGGGCTGCTAGGAGGCGCGCTTGGTGTTTTCTATGGTATCCAAGAAGAGAATTTTATTTATAGATAATGTAATCAGAGGCCCCTACTTAGAGAAAAAAAACCAGAAAACTTTTGTTTATGTTGGTCACTTTATTGCCGGCCAGACAGATGAAACTGATACAACAATAGAGAGAAAAAACTATCACATTTTAGAGCACAGATACAAGACATCCCATCACCTGTGTTAGGCCTGTTGACCTGGCTCAGGTGCTGGGTCATGTTAACCCAAGCACCTGCTGACCTGGGTCATGCTAACCCAAGCACCTGTTGACCTGGGTCATGTTAACCCAAGCACCTGCTGACCTGGGTCATGCTAACCCAAGCACCTGTTGACCTGGGTCATGTTAACCCAAGCACCTGTTGACCTGGGTCATGTTAACCCAAGCACCTGCTGACCTGGGTTATGTTAACCCAAGCATCAGCTGAGTTGAGTTGACCTAATTAAAAGCTCTAGGTAAGGCAATAAGAGAAAAAGCCAGCTTTCTACTAACTACCGGTTTGAGCCAAGTTTTGATTTGCAGCCTCACACATGGGAGATAATCCTAGCCATCTCCCAGTCCATTAATGATACCATCTTTCATCTTAAATCACAATTTAAAAAAAAATGTAAACAGATAATTGAATGTCTGTCTTGAGAGTTTGCCTCAGACAAAAGTCTTCAGTCACGTGACCTGCCCAGAAACTCGTGATGTTACATGAAGAACCGAGTCCAGGGATTTGTCGGATGTTACGTCATCAATTCTTCCAGAGTTTCTGGAACAGGTCACGTGGTCACGACTAAACTCTTTAAAATAATTGTCAAATCTTTCCAATTATTGAAAAATACAAATTAAATATTAATCATTTGCTGAAATTGTAAATTAAAAACACTGATCAAAATTAATTCATGACAAACTTAAAAAATGCATTATAATATTAATAATGAATAAGTGTAAAATATTGGTCAGAGCTATTTTGACATCTAGAGTTGTCTAAATGTATCGAGTGACCTCCCTTACCTGCATGTTACCCTTGTTTGGCGAGCCTTGAGAAATGTGTGACGTGTGCAAGGGATTTACTTGAACATCTTCCAGGGGCAAGCACTCTCGTGGTGATTGCTCCAGCAAGATGTTGGGGGAACAAGCGTCTTATTTCCCTTTGTTGGGGTGGGGAGGGGGTAACGATGAAGGGAAATAAACCCATACTGTCTGTCAGAGGTTGCTGGTCTGTCTGTCTGTCATGGATTTATTTGCTGGACCGGACTGACCTCTGCTGACCAGGACAGAGGAGCAGTGAGCATTGGCTGGTGGTGGTGGTGATTGTTGGTGCATGTGTACACACACATGGGTCATGGTGACCTAATCAACTTGGCTAAATGGACCCAATCAACTTACTAAATGGACCCAATCAACTTGGCTAAATGGACCCAATCAACTTGGCTAAATGGACCCAATCAACTTGGCTAAATGGACCGAGTCAACTTGGCTAAATGGACCCAATCAACTTGGCTAAATGGACCCAATCAACTTGGCTAAATGGACCCAATCAACTTGGCTAAATGGACCGAGTCAACTTGGCTAAATGGACCCAATCAACTTGGCTAAATGGACCCAATCAACTTGGCTAAATGGACCCAATCAACTTACTAAATGGACCCAATCAACTTGGCTAAATGGACCCAATCAACTTGGCTAAATGGACCGAGTCAACTTGGCTAAATGGACCCAATCAACTTGGCTAAATGGACCCAATCAACTTGGCTAAATGGACCCAATCAACTTGGCTAAATGGACCCAATCAACTTGGCTAAATGGACCCAATCAACTTGGCTAAATGGACCGAGTCAACTTGGCTAAATGGACCCAATCAACTTGGCTAAATGGACCCAATCAACTTGGCTAAATGGACCCAATCAACTTGGCTAAATGGACCCAATCAACTTGGCTAAATGGACCCAATCAACTTGGCTAAATGGACCCAATCAACTTGGCTAAATGGACCCAATCAACTTGGCTAAATGGACCCAATCAACTTGGCTAAATGGACCCAATCAACTTGGCTAAATGGACCCAATCAACTTGGCTAAATGGACCCAATCAACTTGGCTAAATGGACCCAATCAACTTGGCTAAATGGACCCAATCAACTTGGCTAAATGGACCCAATCAACTTGGCTAAATGGACCCAATCAACTTGGCTAAATGGACCCAATCAACTTGGCTAAATGGACCCAATCAACTTGGCTAAATGGACCCAATCAACTTGGCTAAATGGACCCAATCAACTTGGCTAAATGGACCCAATCAACTTGGCTAAATGGACCCAATCAACTTGGCTAAATGGACCCAATCAACTTGGCTAAATGGACCCAATCAACTTGGCTAAATGGACCCAATCAACTTGGCTAAATGGACCCAATCAACTTGGCTATAAGGAGTATAGTCAGCTGTATCATAACTTCTGGACTCAATGAGAGTGAAAGGACTTTAAACACTAACAAACATGAGAGTGAAGGGACTTTCAACAGTAACAAACATGAGAGCGAAGGGATTTTCAACACTAACAACCATGAGAGTAAAGGGACTTTCAACACTAACCATTTCAAGTTGAGAAAATAAAGTTGCAAGAAAGCTTTAAACAGCTGACAATCTAGGTTGTGACTAACTTTTCATCTAAATGTATTTGAATGCAAGGCTAGTAGAAATAAAATGACCAAGATAAAAAAAGAATTCTTTTAGCTAATAGAGAAAAAAAACCCGCTGATTAAATATAATTAAATAAAAATTTAAATATTTAAATTTAAATACATTTTTTAAAAAATCCAAATTAATTTCAAATAACTGATAATTGTTCTTATTAAATAAATGACTTTAAATTACATTTGTATTTAGCTTTCTAAATTGAGTGCTATACAATTAGTTTCATCAAAGGCTGAACTCTCTAATAGGGCTAGTAAGTAGGTCACCAACCAGTTCTATGGCTCAATAAAACCTGCATGAGCCATAGAACTGGTTGGTGACCTACTTACCAGCCCAATTGAGTGTATAGAATTTAAGTTTTATCTAAAGTTACACTACATAGGCCTACACTGAGAAAAACATGCTGAGATATAACTATAGAATATATGTCAAAAATATTTACAAATCTTACAAATAATGTTCTAAAAATACCCTCTAAAATCTTAACTTAGTACTTCATAAAATCTTAACTTAGTACGTCATGAAATTATGTTCACCTTTAAATTTGTAATATAATTCATTTAATTGAAAAAAAAATGTAACCCTGATACAAAGTTGTATATTTTTAAAATTTATTTTTGTGCTGCTAATTGTAATTAATGGTTAGCTTGTTATTTGATTGATGCTTCTGTATAAAAAAATGTAAAAACCATTTTGTGGACAGTTTGGTAAAATAGTTGATGAAAGAGCTGAACAAACTAGCATGGCTATTTTAAAGTTTTAAATTCTCTCTGCCCAAAAAACTATTTGGCACAACAAAGCTAAAAATAGAGTTGTACATAGACTCGTCAATATTGTAACCCCCTCAAGCTACAGAAACCTTCTCTCTAGTCTCTACTGTCACAGTCTAATCAACTGTAAATAGAAAAAGATTCTGCTCATTGACTTGTTCATTAAAACTAGTTGATTAAATTATTTTTTTTAAACGGCAGTCTTTCTATAAAAAATAATTTTTAGCATTAAAATTTTTGTCTGCTTGATTGGTACTTGACACTAAAACTTTTTTTTTTTCACTTTTGGTGAAAAAAATAACTGTTGTTTGGATATCCTGACTATCCTACTATCCTGCAGTATCCTAACTCTCCTAATGTACTGCAGTAGTGAGTATTTAGTGTCCACCCTGGACTCATGAAGACTGCCCTACTAAACAAAGACAGGCTAAAGAGAGTCAATGGATTTAAAAACAATCCACACCACCAACACAGAAAAGTAAAAATTAAAAACCTCACCAAATAAAATGAAACAAAAATTTAGCAGAATAGAAACACAAGCAATGACTTCTTTCATCTTTTTTTTTCTGTAAGCAAAAGTTATTTGCTTGATTTTTTAAAATTGTGCAATGAATTGAATTAACCTGCTGTAATTCAACAAAACAAAAGATCTAATGCTGACTATGTGAGATGTGTAGATAGCATTGCTGGTCAGCTCATCTAATGCTGACCAATGTAAGATGTGTAGATAGCATTGCTTGTCAGTTTCTCTCCTACTTAGCTCTGGTCATCTGACACTAGTGGACAGAGCATCAGTCCATCCACTAGTGTCACATGACTAAATGCTCAGCGTCCTGTGGAGTGCATAGGTCAGTTGCCGTCTAGGTCCAGTCTTGTGAGGTCATCTTCACAGGTTCAAAGTTTGGGGAAACATTTTGGTCTAAAGTTTGGGGAAACATTTTGGTCAAAAGTTTGGGGAAACATTTTGGTCAAAAGTTTGGGGAAACATTTTGGACAAAAGTTTGGTAAACTCATTTGTTAAAAAAAAATGCATGTTTTCTAGTTAGACAAAAAATGTGAACAAACTGTTGAACATGACCACACAAGAGATGTGTTTGTGAGATGGGGGAGAAGGAAAGTTGGTACGGGGGAAGGGGGAGGGGGGGGGGGTGAATAAATTACTTTTCAAACAATCTGAAATAAGAAGTTTTGTCCCCAAATGCTTTCAACAAACTATGTATTCAGTCAATGAAAAGTTTATTAAAGTTATAAATAGATTCAGTTACGTTATGGGAGAATCAATTTAACGCAGTGATAAATTACTTTCATTTTAAAACTCTAAACAAAATAAAATCTGGGATGTTGGGGGTGATTTAAAAAAGATGGGTGGGGTGGGGGTAAAATTTTTCTCAAGGCTCAAGCAAGGGCAGCCTGCAGGGAGGCGTAGGTGCAGTTGCTGCGCAGACAGATGGGCTCCTTCTTGAACATGCGCTGGATGCTCAGCTCCTTGTGGCAGTTGGAGCAGGTGTCAGGACACACCTGGCCGTACAGCTTCAGACCAGAATCCTGGGGAGGTCAGAGGTCAGACTTTAGCTCACTAGTGGAGGCAGTAAACAACAGAGGAGGTCAGAGGTCAACCTTTAGCTCACTAGTGGAGGCAGTAAACAACAGAGGAGGTCAGAGGTCAACCTTTAGCTCACTAGTGGAGGCAGTAAACAACAGAGGAGGTCAACCTTTAGCTCACTAGTGGAGGCAGCAAACAACAGAGGAGGTCAGAGGTCAACCTTTAGCTCACTAGTGGAGGCAGCAAACAACAGAGGAGGTCAGACTTTAGCTCACTAGTGGAGGCAGTAAACAACAGAGGAGGTCAGAGGTCAACCTTTAGATCACTAGTGGAGGCAGCAAACAACAGAGGAGGTCAGAGGTCAACCTTTAGCTCACTAGTGGAGGCAGCAAACAACAGAGGAGGTCAGACTTTAGCTCACTAGTGGAGGCAGTAAACAACAGAGGAGGTCAGAGGTCAACCTTTAGCTTACTAGTGGAGGCAGTAAACAACAGAGGAGGTCAGACTTTAGCTCACTAGTGGAGGCAGCAAACAACAGAGGAGGTCAGACTTTAGCTCACTAGTGGAGGCAGTAAACAACAGAGGAGGTCAGACTTTAGCTCACTAGTGGAGGCAGTAAACAACAGAGGAGGTCAGACTTTAGCTCACTAGTGGAGGCAGCAAACAACAGAGGAGGTCAGACTTTAGCTCACTAGTGGAGGCAGTAAACAACAGAGGAGGTCAGAGGTCAACCTTTAGCTCACTAGTGGAGGCAGTAAACAACAGAGGAGGTCAGAGGTCAACCTTTAGCTCACTAGTGGAGGCAGTAAACAACAGAGGAGGTCAGACTTTAGCTCACTAGTGGAGGCAGCAAACAACAGAGGAGGTCAGAGGTCAACCTTTAGCTTACTAGTGGAGGCAGCAAACAACAGAGGAGGTCAGAGGTCAACCTTTAGCCCACTAGTGGAGGCAGCAAACAACAGAGGAGGTCAGACTTTAGCTCACTAGTGGAGGCAGTAAACAACAGAGGAGGTCAGAGGTCAACCTTTAGCTCACTAGTGGAGGCAGTAAACAACAGAGGAGGTCAGAGGTCAAGCTTTAGCTCACTAGTGGAGGCAGCAAACAACAGAGGAGGTCAGAGGTCAAGCTTTAGCTCACTAGTGGAGGCAGTAAACAACAGAGGAGGTCAGACTTTAGCTCACTAGTGGAGGCAGCAAACAACAGAGGAGGTCAGACTTTAGCTCACTAGTGGAGGCAGAAAACAACAGAGGAGGTCAGACTTTAGCTCACTAGTGGAGGCAGCAAACAACAGAGGAGGTCAGACTTTAGCTCACTAGTGGAGGCAGTAAACAACAGAGGAGGTCAGAGGTCAGACTTTAGCTCACTAGTGGAGGCAGCAAACAACAGAGGAGGTCAACCTTTAGCTCACTAGTGGAGGCAGCAAACAACAGAGGAGGTCAGACTTTAGCTTACTAGTGGAGGCAGTAAACAACAGAGGAGGTCAGACTTTAGCTCACTAGTGGAGGCAGTAAACAACAGAGGAGGTCAGAGGTCAACCTTTAGCCCACTAGTGGAGGCAGCAAACAACAGAGGAGGTCAGACTTTAGCTCACTAGTGGAGGCAGTAAACAACAGAGGAGGTCAGACTGTAGCTCACTAGTGGAGGCAGCAAACAACAGAGGAGGTCAGAGGTCAACCTTTAGCTCACTAGTGGAGGCAGCAAACAACAGAGGAGGTCAGACTTTAGCTCACTAGTGGAGGCAGCAAACAACAGAAGAGGTCAGACTTTAGCTCACTAGTGGAGGCAGCAAACAACAGAGGAGGTCAGACTTTAGCTCACTAGTGGAGGCAGTAAACAACAGAGGAGGTCAGACTGTAGCTCACTAGTGGAGGCAGCAAACAACAGAGGAGGTCAGAGGTCAACCTTTAGCTCACTAGTGGAGGCAGCAAACAACAGAGGAGGTCAGACTTTAGCTCACTAGTGGAGGCAGCAAACAACAGAGGAGGTCAGACTTTAGCTCACTAGTGGAGGCAGTAAACAACAGAGGAGGTCAGACTTTAGCTCACTAGTGGAGGCAGTAAACAACAGAGGAGGTCAGACTTTAGCTCACTAGTGGAGGCAGCAAACAACAGAGGAGGTCAGACTTTAGCTCACTAGTGGAGGCAGCAAACAACAGAGGAGGTCAGACTTTAGCTCACTAGTGGAGGCAGCAAACAACAGAGGAGGTCAGACTATAGCTCACTAGTGGAGGCAGTAAACAACAGAGGAGGTCAGAGGTCAACCTTTAGCTCACTAGTGGAGGCAGCAAACAACAGAGGAGGTCAGACTTTAGCTCACTAGTGGAGGCAGTAAACAACAGAGGAGGTCAGAGGTCAGACTTTAGCTCACTAGTGGAGGCAGCAAACAACAGAGGAGGTCAGACTTTAGCTCACTAGTGGAGGCAGCAAACAACAGAGGAGGTCAGACTTTAGCTCACTAGTGGAGGCAGTAAACAACAGAGGAGGTCAGACTTTAGCTCACTAGTGGAGGCAGCAAACAACAGAGGAGGTCAGACTTTAGCTCACTAGTGGAGGCAGTAAACAACAGAGGAGGTCAGACTTTAGCTCACTAGTGGAGGCAGCAAACAACAGAGGAGGTCAGACTTTAGCTCACTAGTGGAGGCAGTAAACAACAGAGGAGGTCAGACTTTAGCTCACTAGTGGAGGCAGCAAACAACAGAGGAGGTCAGATTTTAGCTCACTAGTGGAGGCAGCAAACAACAGAGGAGGTCAGACTTTAGCTCACTAGTGGAGGCAGTAAACAACAGAGGAGGTCAGACTTTAGCTCACTAGTGGAGGCAGCAAACAACAGAGGAGGTCAGACTTTAGCTCACTAGTGGAGGCAGTAAACAACAGAGGAGGTCAGACTTTAGCTCACTAGTGGAGGCAGTAAACAACAGAGGAGGTCAGACTTTAGCTCACTAGTGGAGGCAGTAAACAACAGAGGAGGTCAGACTTTAGCTCACTAGTGGAGGCAGCAAACAACAGAGGAGGTCAGACTTTAGCTCACTAGTGGAGGCAGCAAACAACAGAGGAGGTCAGACTTTAGCTCACTAGTGGAGGCAGTAAACAACAGAGGAGGTCAGAGGTCAACCTTTAGCTCACTAGTGGAGGCAGTAAACAACAGAGGAGGTCAGACTTTAGCTCACTAGTGGAGGCAGTAAACAACAGAGGAGGTCAGAGGTCAGACTTTAGCTCACTAGTGGAGGCAGCAAACAACAGAGGAGGTCAGAGGTCAACCTTTAGCTTACTAGTGGAGGCGGCAAACAACAGAGGAGGTCAGACTTTAGCTCACTAGTGGAGGCAGTAAACAACAGAGGAGGTCAGACTTTAGCTCACTAGTGGAGGCAGTAAACAACAGAGGAGGTCAGACTTTAGCTCACTAGTGGAGGCAGTAAACAATAGAGGAGGTCAGACTTTAGCTCACTAGTGGAGGCAGTAAACAACAGAGGAGGTCAGAGGTCAGACTTTAGCTCACTAGTGGAGGCAGCAAACAACAGAGGAGGTCAGAGGTCAACCTTTAGCTCACTAGTGGAGGCAGCAAACAACAGAGGAGGTCAGACTTTAGCTCACTAGTGGAGGCAGTAAACAACAGAGGAGGTCAGAGGTCAACCTTTAGCTTACTAGTGGAGGCAGCAAACAACAGAGGAGGTCAACCTTTAGCTCACTAGTGGAGGCAGTAAACAACAGAGGAGGTCAGACTTTAGCTCACTAGTGGAGGCAGCAAACAACAGAGGAGGTCAGACTTTAGCTCACTAGTGGAGGCAGCAAACAACAGAGGAGGTCAGACTTTAGCTCACTAGTGGAGGCAGCAAACAACAGAGGAGGTCAGAGGTCAGACTTTAGCTCACTAGTGGAGGCAGTAAACAACAGAGGAGGTCAGAGGTCAGACTTTAGCTCACTAGTGGAGGCAGCAAACAACAGAGGAGGTCAGACTTTAGCTCACTAGTGGAGGCAGCAAACAACAGAGGAGGTCAGAGGTCAGACTTTAGCTCACTAGTGGAGGCAGTAAACAACAGAGGAGGTCAGACTTTAGCTCACTAGTGGAGGCAGCAAACAACAGAGGAGGTCAGACTTTAGCTCACTAGTGGAGGCAGTAAACAACAGAGGAGGTCAGACTTTAGCTCACTAGTGGAGGCAGTAAACAACAGAGGAGGTCAGACTTTAGCTCACTAGTGGAGGCAGTAAACAACAGAGGAGGTCAGACTTTAGCTCACTAGTGGAGGCAGCAAACAACAGAGGAGGTCAGACTTTAGCTTACTAGTGGAGGCAGCAAACAACAGAGGAGGTCAGACTTTAGCTCACCAGTGGAGGCAGTAAACAACAGAGGAGGTCAGACTTTAGCTCACTAGTGGAGGCAGTAAACAACAGAGGAGGTCAGACTTTAGCTCACTAGTGGAGGCAGTAAACAACAGAGGAGGTCAGACTTTAGCTCACTAGTGGAGGCAGTAAACAACAGAGGAGGTCAGACTTTAGCTCACTAGTGGAGGCAGTAAACAACAGAGGAGGTCAGACTTTAGCTCACTAGTGGAGGCAGCAAACAACAGAGGAGGTCAGACTTTAGCTCACTAGTGGAGGCAGCAAACAACAGAGGAGGTCAGACTTTAGCTCACTAGTGGAGGCAGTAAACAACAGAGGAGGTCAGACTTTAGCTCACTAGTGGAGGCAGTAAACAACAGAGGAGGTCAGACTTTAGCTCACTAGTGGAGGCAGCAAACAACAGAGGAGGTCAGACTTTAGCTTACTAGTGGAGGCAGCAAACAACAGAGGAGGTCAGACTATAGCTCACTAGTGGAGGCAGTAAACAACAGAGGAGGTCAGAGGTCAACCTTTAGCTTACTAGTGGAGGCAGCAAACAACAGAGGAGGTCAGACTTTAGCTCACTAGTGGAGGCAGTAAACAACAGAGGAGGTCAGACTTTAGCTCACTAGTGGAGGCAGCAAACAACAGAGGAGGTCAGATGTCAACCTTTAGCTCACTAGTGG